TTTTTAGGTCTATGAAGTTCAAAAAGTTGACTAACGCTCAAAGATCGGGTCTCAACCAGATTCCTAACCGACGATTCACTCTTTGGTGGTCACCTGTAAGTTATATTATTCCAATCCCTATCTTGTCTTGCCTGAGAGGGTATTTGATTGTCAAGCTCAGTTTGAGACATTGAGAAGTATTTTAAGGCAAAAGTTACTTTACAATGTTCCATACAATTTCGAACTTTGAAAGCATCCTCTAGCAAATTCACTTTACAATATTCTACCCAATCTGAAACATTGAAATCATTCTCCAGCAATTGAAAACATTCTCAAGCAAAGTTTGCTTTACAATATCCTACCCAATTTGGAACAATGAAAAGCCTTCTGAGGCAAAATTTACTTTACAATATCCTATTCAATTCGAAACGATGAACACAAGCTAACATTCGGTTTAAATTTAGACAATCAACAGAGCCAATGTTTATGTTGGTTTCCAAGTCCAATTAGATCTTACTGGTATTTTCTTGCACGGTAAAATTCCAACTTTAAAGATTTCTCTCATCCAAATCTTCCGCGCCCATCTTTGGCAGAAGTAAGTTCAAGATGTCCACTAATTTTCCCTTCATCACTAACCTCATCTTATAGAATACATGAAAGTGTAGTCATGGACCTGGCACAAGTATTCGATCAAGAATTGGAGCAGCTTGGCATCGAGACAGTACAGAAGGAGACTATTCATCCTAGAAAGTCTTACAAGATGAACAGTTCTTGTGCTGATATTCTGTTGTTCGCAAGCCACAAATGGAATGTCACTCGCCCATCTATTCTCTTTGACACAAAAGACGTAATTGAAGCTACCACAACGAACAAGTTCTGGGTAGATGTTCAACTTCGTTACGGAGATTATGATTCTCACGACATTGAACGCTACGTCCGCGCAAAATACCTTGATTATACAACCGATAGTATGAGTATTTATCCTTCGGCCACTGGTCTCATGATTGGTATCGATCTTGCTTACAATCTCTACTCGGCATATGGACAATACTTTCCCGGTCTCAAGCAATTGGTACAGCAAGCTATGGCCAAAATCATGAAGGCAAATCCAGCTCTATATGTCTTGCGCGAACGTATTAGGAAGGGTCTTCAATTGTATGCGTCCGAAAGTAATCAAGAGTTTTTGAATTCTCAAAATTACTCTGAACTTTTCAGCAACCAAATTCAGCTCTTCATTGACGACACAAATGTTTACCGTGTTACTATCCACAAGACATTTGAAGGTAACTTGACAACGAAACCAATCAATGGAGCAATCTTCATCTTTAATCCTCGTACTGGACAACTCTTCTTGAAGATCATTCATACAAGTGTCTGGGCAGGACAGAAACGTCTGGGACAATTAGCTAAGTGGAAGACTGCTGAGGAAGTTGCCGCTCTCATTCGATCATTGCCTATCGAAGAGCAACCGAAACAGCTTATCGTTACGAGAAAGGGTCTTCTTGATCCACTCGAAGTACATTTGCTTGACTTCCCCAATATATCAATCCGTGCCTCTGAGCTGCAATTACCCTTCCAGGCCGCCATGAAGGTCGAGAAGCTCGGTGATATGATTCTTCGTGCCACTGAACCTCAGATGGTTCTTTTCAATCTTTACGACGAATGGCTAAAGTCAATTTCATCATACACTGCATTCTCTCGTTTGATCCTTATCTTGCGTGCTTTGCACGTAAATCAGGATAAGACAAAGTTACTCCTTCGACCCGACAAGACTGTCATCACTCAAGAGCATCATATCTGGCCCACATTGTCGGATGAAGATTGGATCAAGGTTGAAACCCAACTGCGTGATCTCATTTTGAATGATTACGGCAAGAAGAACAATGTCAACACTTCCAGTCTTACCAGTAGTGAAGTACGTGATATTATATTGGGTATGGAAATCAGTGCTCCATCGATGCAACGCCAGCAAGCGGCCGAAATTGAAAAGCAGCAACAAGAACAACAGCAGCTCACAGCTGTCACCACCAAGACTCAAAACGTTCACGGAGAGGATATCATTGTCACCACTACTTCGCAATTCGAACAACAAACCTTTGCATCGAAGACTGAATGGAGAACTAGAGCGATTGCAACTTCGAACTTGAGGACACGATCGAACAACATCTATATCTCTTCGGATGACGTCAAAGAGGATGATCATTACACTTATATCATGCCAAAGAACATCTTGAAGCGCTTTATCACAATTGCGGATTTGCGAGTTCAAGTGGCTGGATATTTGTATGGTTCATCTCCCCCAGATAATGACCAAGTGAAGGAAATCCGCTGTATCGTAATGGTACCTCAAATTGGTAGTACACGTGATGTACAATTGCCTCAGCAGTTGCCACAACACGAGTATCTTGACCAAATGGAACCCCTCGGAATTATTCACACCGTTTCTGGTAATGAACCACCATATATGACAGCCATGGATGTCACCCAACATGCACGTCTGATGAATGCGCATAAATCTTGGGACAAAAAGACGGTTACTATGACTGTTTCATTCACTCCCGGAAGTGTCTCACTAGCATCATGGGCGCTCACGCCTCATGGTTATAAATGGGGTGCGGAGAATAAAGATCTCGGTAGCGACCAACCACAAGGCTTCAGCACAAACATGGGTGAGAAATGTCAACTTCTGCTTAGTGACAAGATTCGCGGATACTTCTTGGTACCCGAGACCAATTCATGGAACTATAGTTTTATGGGAAGTGCTTTTGGGAGCTTGGAGAAGAAGCCGATACATGTGAAGATCGATACGCCTACGCCTTTCTACAACGACTTACACAGACCGTTGCATTTCCAGAACTTTGCTGAATTGGAGGATATTTGGGTTGACAATGAGGACAAGCTTGCCTAGATTAATGACATAGGGGAGGGTGTTGAAAAAAAGGAGAAGCAGAACAATATGGGAAGGAAGATTGGAACTGGAAGGATGAATTAATCAGCGTGCATCTGTATGAAATCGGGCTGGGCAATGGGCGTTTGATGCGAACACGCATTGTAACAATGTATTTTTTTTGTAGATGAATAATATGGTAGCAAAATGAAATGAATTTGATCATGCCACGATGATGTGTTAATTTTGAACTTTCCAAACCTCTATGAATGTTTCAGTTGTGGTATCTATCCTGTTGTTTGATTTTTCTTCGAATGCTCAAATCATTTTGAATGTTCAAATTGCTATCAATACCCGAAATGCTTTGAATGTGGGAATTATTTTGATTGTTCCATGTATCTTGAATATTCGAATTATCTAAAATGTTCAAAATACTCTAGCTTTGGATGTATAATTTGCTTTGAGCATTCAAAATGCTCTCAATGTTCGAACTTTCCTGAATGTTTAAATTGCTTTGATTGCTCGAAATGCCTTGGATGTATAACATGCTTTGAGTATTCAAAGGGTTCCCAATGTTCGAATTACTTTGATTGCTCAGATCGCCTTTAGTGTTCGAATTAATATCAATGTTCAGATTGCTCTTAGTATTCAGATTGTTTTCACTGTTCATTCGAACTATTTTGATCATTTAAATTGCCTTGATATTTAAATTGCTTCAAATGCTTGAATTGTTCAAATTGTATTCAATGCTCAAATTGCTTTAAATGTTCAAAATTGCTTTAAATGTTCAAATTGTTTTCAATATTTCAGGTTATCATGGAATTCCAAATAATCTCAAGATTCAACACTGGATGAATATCCCATCTCATCTTCATCTGAGTAGGTACCTAGTAAGCAATTGAACCACACGGCCTTTTAGCTTGCAACCCATATGATACAGCTGGACTCCATATCTTTCTTGTTCCATGTATGCGTCACAAATACGAAACATACCCTTCACTCTTTGCGTGTGCCCTTTGCCAGCTCGGCCATCTATTGTCTACAGTCTGTTCACTTCCATACCGCCATCTCTAGAAACTGGAGTCTAGTCTATGGTTACACAACGCTCTCGTTCGATGTTCACCTCCTTGCTGCTGCGCCTTACATATCAATCACATGTATGATCGACAGTGGGTACGAATCACCGCTACATCATCAACGCATTTCATTCACTTCCAGTGAAGTAGGTGGATATTTATAGAACGGAGCATCAAACGAGCCAAATGCAAAACTTGAAATGGATGCACAGCCAGATTCGAATATGGAAAGATCATACCAATAGGTAGATGAGTAAGGGCTTACCTATCCTATCACAAAGTGTCGATCCACCCAAATCTTGGTTTCGGGGTCTTTCGCTGGTTTAGGAACGTAAGGCTTGAGCCGACCGACCACTGATACTTTTTTCCTTGGGCGGGACCTGCAGCAAAATCTGCACAATTACAGCAGCCAGTGATGAGTGATGGTCGTATCTTACCTTGTAGCGCACACATTTTGCATCTGCCGTATGCACGCCAATTAATTACCATTCAAACGTTTTTATCGGTATTGGTATTGGTATTGGTATTGGTATTGGTATTGGTATATTTTCTTTTTTCGGGCAGTGGCAAGGTTACTTACCATGCTACTAACTTTGGATATTCATCGGGTTCCCTGGACTGGATTCAATCAAGTACCGTGCCGTGAAATATATGCCTGTCTACCTGAGTCTAGATACCTAGTACATACATACATACTTGTGCTTTTCATGTCAGGCTGGTTGGTCGCTCTAGATCTGTACAATGGACAAACAGGAAGATTGTGAAAGGAGAAGGAGATACAAAGATTAAGTTTGAAGGATATAGAAATGATTCAAATGATTCGATACAATTTGAATCAATATATGTACTATGTAGGTACTCAGTATAAACAAGAGGTCAAGAGTGGCTCCTTCTTCGCTTTTCTCCGAAAGTGTAAATCAATACGTACCTAAGCAATAAATCGAGTATTTTATTTTATTGAAATCAGAATTAAACTTCTCTTCATTCATTCATTCATTTCCTCTCCTCTCCTCTCCCCTCCCCTCCTCTCCTCTCTTCTCTTCTCCTCTCCTCTCCTCTCCTCTCCTCTTCTTTTTCTTTCTCTTTTCATCCATCGTACGTGTAATTCCATTATCAATATATTCAATCGGCATGCATTCCCCTTTTGTTTCGTTCCCTTTGATCCAATTGATCCATACCTTCAATTGATCAATCGGTATAGTCTGCCTAGGTACTGCGACTATATTGGAAGCATACGGACAAAATGGTATCAGGAGAAGCAACAATCGACACCGGGAACCTTGTCATCATGGAAATACGTACAGCTCTTCAATTACATATTCCCTCTTCGAGAAAACCAATACTCAGCTTGGTCCATATTAGTATTTCCCCTTGCTCCGATCATTCATGCTTACCTAGGGTTTTGAAGCAAAGAAGTCGAAATCATGTCATTTGAATTATATTGCTTTTGGGAATGGGTTACAGACCCTGGTTGTCAACATCAATGCCTTAAGAAAGAAAGCAAACAAAAAAAAAAAAAAAAGTGTAGGTGCGACAATCAAAAAAGCATGAACGGGCAATGTCGCGAATAACTCCATCAATTTCACCAATTTGAAAGCTAAGCAGGGCTTTCATGTCTCCATTCATCGTTCGATTCGAATGCCCCCTTGAACGAATACACAATCGAGTCTATTTTTCCTTCAGCATCTAGGTAATGGGGACATAGCTATGATCTCTCTATTACACATTGAATGTCACTACAGACAGACAGACCAAACCAAAAGAAAATAGCTACATTGCCTAGGTAGACACGTTACATACAAAGCCTCAAATACGAAGTTAAGTATAGAAAATCTGCAAGGTGGATCTGGATCATCATTGGGATCTTTAAAGAACCTTCTGACATTGTTCTTCAGCCTTCTTCACTGGGGTTAAGGTTAAGGAACAGGGTCACTGTCGATAAGGCCAGCCCAAGCCGGCCCATCCGTTATTCCATTCCAGTCCAAGAATCAATTGATTATCCTATTTGCTGAAATGGTAGTCTTTACGACTTCAAATCTCCGTTATTTGCTGGCCATATGCCCTCATCTCACGCGTCATTTCAGTTTCTTATTGCTTTTCAATGGGAACCATCCGATGAATGGATCCATCAGAAAATCTCCCACGACTTAAGTAAGTACGTACAAGGGGTAGGAATAAAGGGGAATTCCCAGCAGTTACTCTCGGAGGTTTTATATTTATAACCCTTGAATTCTATATGGATGGTAGAGGAATAGCGTGGATGTTAAATGGCTAAATGGTTAAATGCAACCTTCAAGCATCGATGGGAATCTACAATTGGGAATTGAGCATTGGGAACCACTCTCGTGCCAGTGTGTGTTAGCTACCTAGGTAGGTATCTTCGTTGCCTACCTACTCAAGGGTTATTGATCAGTCCCTATGCACCCCCTACCACACCATTCGGCCAAAGTCCTGTTGAGCCTGACAATTCTTGCCTGTCTACTCGAGTAAGGTAAAGAAGCCAATTTGACAAATCAACGCATTATTTTGCCATTTAATTCATCTCCGTTCTTCAATCGTCATTATCCTATCACGTCCTACCTCGATACTATTTTTAATCCCATAATCCTTGAGCATTAAAACAAATTTTGTTATTATTCATGCTTCAAACCCAGAAAGAGGTCGCAGCGCCGGTGGAACATGGCCTTACTTCTCCACACTTCAATAAGGACGAGGGGTTTTTTTTAAAGTTGGCTCGGGAAGTAAAGTTCATCCAGGAGTTAAGATGGTTGGGTGAAGTGGGCCTAAATCCCTGTTGCCGGTTTCTTATTCTCGCCACAATCCATTTCTTGTTTCAAAAGCTTCTATACTTCTTCCAGAGCTCTAATGCCCTGAGAACCCAACATTCTTCCCATGGATGTCCACTTCCACTCTGCCTAACTTTCGATACCAAATCTTCTTGGCGGGTCTACTCATCACCCCCTTCCTTGTATGTCAACATTGTCAAGCCTTCTTTCGATAACCATGCTTTGAGCGTTACAAGCATTGGCTCGGGATCTTCTCATCTTGGAACCCTAATTGGGAAGCCAGGCATAATCGAATTCCCATCTCCCCGGCAGAGGACGTTGCTAAAGTTCTGCCAACATGCATCATTTGCATTGCGCAACACGGAAGCTGTCTCGTTCGATGCGAATCGCTGGAACGCTTTGGTCATTTTAATTACTGCTACTGCCCTACGCCATTGATGTCTATGCAAGCTTTACTTAAAAGATCAGACGATAGATAAATGCAGATGCACCCCCTCTCTCTTTAATATTTCTCCTTCCTTTTACCATTTCATCAACGGCTCTAATCTACAGTGGTTCATTCATTCAATAAGTTGCCGAAAAAGTTTGGAAAACATTTTGGTCGTTGGTAATTCGCATATTACCAAGGTATGCATTATTCGGCTCTCACCTATATAACGGCATTATATAGATAAGTTTTCGAAACGCGCACAGTCGCATCTGCTTTGTAAACAACGGTCAACAAAACCACAACAAGCGTTCTGGAAACATAACGCGCTGCGGCAATACTTCAACACCTTTTAGAATTACCCCCAGCGACCTGCGAGAGCAGTTCGCTGTGGAGGAATCCATGTATGTCTGGCTATTCACGCCACAATCCAGGGCACGATCCTTATATCGATTATGCTGCTCAATCCGAAGAACATCCAGAGCGCGTTTACGGGTCGCATCACCCAGAGCTCCAGCAAGTTGGTGCGCAAAGTCTCGAATCCCTTCAACTTGGAGGGCATCATCAACAACAACAGCAGCAACATCACCACCACCACCAAGTATTGCTAGATTCACACGGTATGGCCCACCACCAGTCTCCTCAATATGGAGGCGGGCAACACATCGGGTACATGGGTGCGCAAATACAACAGCCATCTAGTGTAGGGAAAAGGCCAAGAACCCATGATGAATTGGACATTGGGATGGGAAGGGTATCAGAAGGCCAAATGCATGGGCAGATGCAAGATATGTCTTCACAAATGGCTCAACAAACGATGGGTGGTTATGGCGGTGGACCTCAAGCTTTTCACAGTCATGCATTGCCTAATCAAGGACCTCGAGGCGCGAAGATTCCTCGTCTTGGCGAAGGACCGGATTCAAGTATGATGTCGCAAGGTGCACCTAGTGTAGTTGGCACCGCTGGAATGCCGATGCCTGCAGAAAGACCGCGAGGTCCAAAGTTAAAGTTCACTCCCGAGGATGATCAGTTACTGGTAGATTTGAAAGAGAATAAGGCTTTGACTTGGAAGCAAATTGCGGAGTTTTTCCCAGGGCGCTCTTCAGGGACATTGCAGGTCCGGTATTGCACAAAATTGAAGGCTAAGACAACTCAATGGACTGATGAGACGGTAAGATAATTGAACCTTGTCTTTTGCGAATTTATAATTGATTAAAACTTTCAGGTTCAAAAACTTCGAACAGCGGTTCATGACTACGAACAAGAAAAATGGCGCATTGTGGCACAGAAAGTTGGGACCGGGTTCACATCTACGGCTTGCAAAGATAAATGGACTGAGCTGGTGAGTTCCCTAAAATCAAGATGCCCGACAGTCCAGACTGCAGTCCAACAATCAGAGGCTTTCAAAGTCTGAATCCAAATAAACCATTCCAATAGTTTGAGATGGCAGATCTATTTTGGACATCGTATTGCTTTTAAACATTGGGAAAGTCCGATTGTTGGATTGCAATCCAGACTATTTGCAACCCTGCCCAAAAGCAATGTTAAAAGCAAAAGCCCTTGGTTACCTAAGTTGGGTGCCATCATCAATGCGCTCGTCACAACCTAATATTCCTTTTCTTTTCAGCCCCGGTGACACACATACACAAAAGACTAACCATTTTCTTCTCACGACTTAGATGAACCCCGATGATTCCGAATTGCAATCACCAGAACCTGAAAATCTACCTGAAGATTCAGAATATTAACTTCACGCGGACCAATTTTTGTCAAGTTTCTTTTGCATCTCACCTACCTATAAGCACAGACATTGCATACACAACACTTCCTCAGCCAGCACAGCCGACTAGATTACCGACGCGACACAGATTTCGCATTATATTTTTATTTGTTGCACCACACACATTTACACATACCCAGCATACAACATTTCCTATTTGAAAATCCGAAAGCAAGAAGTTCACCAACTAATACCGGATGAAAGCGGCTGGATCGCTTTTTGTCTCATTCATCTATTTATTGCTTATTCCTGGACTATAATGGTCAACTACATTCCCATTTCCTTATATTTCGTTTTAGGAAGGAAGAACAAAAGGGAGGAAAGGAGGAGCACATATATACATGGAAACTTTCGAGATTCGAATACACCAAAAAAATACTATTCATGATGAGAAATGGAAGGGGTGGGAGGAGGTTGTAATTGTACAATTGGTGGGTTGGGGTTACATATGGTAGACGGCTGATGGAGTGAGAGGGGTGAGAGGGGTGAGACGAGGGAGGTATATCTTCTGGATGACTGCTTATCATGTTGGACATGGTCTTTTTTTAAAACTTCATATACCCCTTATTTTGATATGATGATGGATGATGGGCCAAGGCAGGGTTTTGGATGGAATAATGGAATTTTTTTGGAATATACACATACACATTTTAGTACCAAGTTTTATTTTCGTTTTTATTTTTTTCTTGTTTTTGCTTTCTATGATGGTGATGATGATGATGATGATGATGGTAAAGAGGGGTGAAGAGTACCTATGTTTGAGAAGTGATGGATAAGCGGGGTTGTGTGAAAAATAAATGTAAGGGGGGCGTTTGGAGATGAGAGGGGTGTGATGGATGATGTGTGTTGTGTTTGTGATATAGTGAAATGAAGGTTTTAATTGTTTTGAATAAAAATATAAGGACTTATTGGTGGTGATTGGTGATTGAGGGTCTTGTGATGATTTTATTCTCTTCTATTTGTATTATTCTCATCTCATCTGATCTCTTTTTTTTACCTTTTTCTTTATATTGAGATTAGATTGTATTGTATTGGATTGGATTGTTGAAGTTTATTTATTTATTTATTTATATGAGTTTTGGGTTTTGAGTCTGGAGTTTTGAGTCTGGAGTCTGTAGCTTTTTTAGTGAGTGTTTGTTGGTACCTGAGGAGGGATGGATGCTCGGAGGGAGGGGAGGGAACTCGAGGGGAGTGGAAGTTTAATTTATAGGTAGGTAGGTAGGTAGGTAGGTAGGTAGGTAGGTAGGTATACTTAGTAAATAATTGCGCTTTTGGATTTTGGATTTTGGATTTCGAAGAGGGGGAAAATATGGAAGATAGATATGTCGAGAATTGGAATTGGAGGAGTAATTGTTGTTTGTTCTGGTTGATGAATTGATTTGATTTGAATTGATGTAAGGAATCTTGTTTATCGCGAGATTTTATTTTTTTGTGATTCTATTTATTTAATTTTATTTGACTCGACGTCTTTGGAATTAAGAAAGAAAAAAAAAATTGCAGAGGGAAGGAGGGGAGGGTGAGGGTGAGGGAATGAAACGGGATGGGATGAGATGAGATGTACGGATTGCATTTGTAGGGTAAGTAGTAGTAAGGTAAGCAGGAAGGTAGGTATGTATATTGAGATACTGAATTATGTGAGAAGGAGAGAGAGAGAGAGACGTAAAATTGGATCGTGGATTTTAAGGGCTGTTTTTGGATTGTGGTGGTTGGTGTTTGGAGAGGGAGTAGTGAGTAAGTGGATGGGTGAGTGAGGGAGGAATTGACTTGAGCGATATAGTTTCAATTTTAATTGATGAGTGGGATGGCATGTAGATATTCGTTGAATATAGGTAAGATAGGTAGTCTTTTATACCCAGGTGATCGTGTTATATATTTACATCTTCCTGATTGGACTCTAGTTGTAGAATAGATTGCGAGAATGTGTGCTTGAGTTCGAGAGAGTGTGAGGGCGATGTAACATGTCAACCCGAGTAAGTAGTGATAAGCCTAGCTGTAATTCTTGTTTTGAGTTCCAATTTTCTATGATTTTTATTTCAGGATGCTAAGGTTACTTGAGAGAGTAAAAGTGTAACATATATCTGAGCGACAACGAGTGATTTACTAATGAGAGCAACAAAGTACACAACGAACCGGAGAAAAATATTACAGAAATAAATCAGCCATCCAAACTTGAGAAGAGGCAAATGTCTACGACATCCTACTAGCAATATCCCTCGCAACATAGATTTGCCCATACAAATCCGTTACATTGACAAAGACATCCAGCACACCTCTTACCTTCTCGCCAACCAAAGGTCTCAATCTCGCTTTGACGATAAGGAGACATTCCCGTTCATACTCCGCCATTTCCATCAATGCGCTTTTCCTCTCTTGCAGTTCCGCCGTAGTTTGCTTTTCCGTTGCATCAGAAGACATAGAACTTCCGGCACACTTTTCAAACTCGGGGAAATTCACGCTATTGAGGTTCTTCTCCGCTTTGTCGCGTGCTAGCGAGCCATAATCGTTGTACATGCGACACATGACTGCGAGATGCTGACCCAGCTCCGCGGACAGATACTTTGTGAGCACGGTGGGGAACGGTTCGTCTCCTCGGTCCGATGTCATTCGACACGATATCCAGTCCCATGAATAGGGACATGATGTATGGACGGCGGAAATATTACGTACCCAATCCCAGTAAGTTCTCGATGCTGGGAATGTGACGGGAGCATCGGCATCGTGTCCTGAAAGTTGTGCAAATCGAGAATTGTCGGTTGAGTGAGTGAGATGGGCGAGGAGAAAAGCTTCCAATTGTTTGCTCAGATGAGCTAAAGATGATTCTGAAGCTTTTTGGATGGAAGGATGGTTTAGAACGTGGTCTTTGAAGCGGATGAGAGTGTCTCTGTCATCATTTGTGGAGTCATCTGGTAAACCGTCATCGGAGTTCACTGGTGTTATGATGCCACGATCTATCGAAGAACTCTCCTGACTCGATAGGGGGTCACTTCGAAGAGTTGTCTTGGAAAACAGGCCTCGGATTAAATGCTTCGCAGAGCCGTTGTGTCCAAGCACAGCTTCCATGAATTCGTCTGCTTGATAATTTAACATTGAGATGACCATCATATCCCAAATTAGGTCAGTCTCAAGGAATACCCCTTTATTATTACAACCAGTCCACGTGAAAGGAATATACTCTAGATATTTATCCTCTGCCATGTTCTGGCGGGGGAAGATATCCAAGCGAATTCGACGTAGTCGTGGAAGAAAGAGATATCCTTCCATAATAGAGGCAGTGAGCTTCCACGAGCTCTCACTTGCGAAGAGAGGTATTGCAGAGAAAAACTTGGCGAACTTCGCAACTCTATCAAAGGGAATACTGAGGATATTTGGAAGTGGTTTCCATTGTGCTGAGTTGGTAGGGTAATTCTTGGCTGCATGGGTTGCTGCTATACAATATTTTCTGGACAAAATACTTGATCCGTAACTGACTTTTTCAACCCAGGTATAAGTAACTTTATCCCAACTATCTCGGTGCTGATTCAAAAAACTTTGACCTGTACGAATGCCTTTAAGCACTTGCTTGTCAAGCTCTCCGGCCCAGGGAAAGAAAGTCGCATCAATCAAAGTCAGGATGCCATAAGCAGTTATCTCGCACGAGCCTGAAGTACCCCAAGAACCATTGCTATTTTGGCTATGCAATGTGCGATGTAGAATCTGTAATAAAATTACAGGAATCTTGTCTTTCAATTGTTCTTCTGGAAAGTCTGGTAGTGCTCCACTGTCCCAAACCATCACAAGCTTTCTGAATGTCTGAGCCAAGAGCATCATCGAATACTGCCGGGAGAGATTCTTATTCATTCTGTTAGCATAATGGCAAAGTATGTCTATCACGAAAAGCTAATAAATATTCGTACCCATTTGTCATCGATCTTTCCTGCCGACCATGAATTGCATAAAAACTCAGTTGTGCTGAGAATCTGCCCGATGTATTTGTTGGGCTCATTAATATGCAACAAAGCATTGAGTACATTACAATTTGCACTGATGCTTCCATTTCTCTCGAGTGCGTAAGTCTGAAAATGATTTTTGACTTCAAAGTTTGCTATCATTTGCTCTGCCGAAACTGATCTTCCGACCAGACAAAGCGTAAGAATACATTTCGCGGTGTCATCAGCATCGGGAAGTAATGAAGGAGCTATCAAAGTTATTATAAAGAGACTGTTTCAGGGTGATTTCGACCTACCAAAACCGATGACTCCTTGTCTGTGGCTTAATTCCTGCTGGAGATGGTCCACCAATATGCTAAGATTATACTCTCCTAATTCTTCTGGGGTATAACCTGCTTTCAGAAGCGTAGAGACAACCTAGATGAATCATCGGCTTGATTAGTACAAGTTTAGATTAAACAACGGATTTATCATATCGTACCCATGTGAACTCGAAAAACGTCGTTGGGAACGCACAAGGGACGCTTCCGTTGCCTTTTCCAGCACCTTCAATGATGGTGTTTCTGAGATAAATTTCTGATTCGTTATCCCAGGTTGAAGTATTCATTAGATATGCCGCCGTTGAAGATGGAGAAGCCATAATACTTCCATTCTGTAAGTGGTGCTTGATTCTATTGAAATCTATTGTACCAATGAATGCTTCCAAAGAATGCAGTGCAGTCACTTGTATATCCTTATAGAAGATTTCTGGCTGGAATCTCGAGAGCTTCTCCTGGTTCAGTTGGAGTAGATGTGTTCTACCAGGAAATTCACAGACGACGTTGTATTGCTCTAGCATTCCTAAAAGCGCAGGGACAAGAATCTCGAATCCAACATGAACACAAGATCTGACATCCCACGTTTGCAATTGATGTCTCAGACTATCTTGCGCTTTGAGTATTCGTGCATCAATGTCAGGCGGTAAAACGGAGTACGAGAAATTGTTAGCATTTTGATGAGATACAAAGGCCAACAGAGCCGCCATGGTGTTCAAGATTCCATCCACCTGCGACGAATAAGATTCCCAGGAGCCATCTTTGGCCTGAGAATCGACTATGTGTTGGAAGGCTTCTGGAAAGAGCCAATGTCTAACCCCGTCAACATCTTTCGATACCATAGATACCCATGCCGTGTCATAGATAGATGTAGACATCGATCCAGAGCCACCTGCTCGGAAAGATTCATTGGCTAGACTGCCGACTAGAAACTTGGCTTTTAATACATCGAAGTGATCCATTTGTGCTGTTTGGAACGGGAGAAATAAGGTACACAAATTATGCAGGAATCTGATGGAAGCAAGGTAAAGTAATGCATACCGAAAAGGGCACACCCAGATGTCCTCTATATCAAGTCCAATCGCATGCACACTGGTGACCTGCTGACAATCATCTTTGGTTTGAGACCACGGTCGGCTTCTCCGTTACAAATGCACCCTGATAAGTTTAGACCAGCGATGGTTTCCGATCTCATGGGAAATTGACACCATAAATGGCAAAAGCTCCTTGAAAATAGCCAAGAGCATTTTTGCAAAATCGTGGCATGTTTATTGCAGACCCCAGAGGGCCGGAGCGGGGTAATTAATCCTCGACTGTGGCAACTCGCGGGGGAAGGTTTGCAAGGCTATGGGTATGATGCTGCTTATTGCTTTCTTTCATGTCCATTCCTTTCGTGGCAAGCTCTCCTATCACTCTCGTACGATTGCAATCGAGAACGACAGGCGACATGTGATGTGGAGTGGATGAAGAATCGGACGGAACACGAAAAAAATGTAAGTAAGACGAGAGCTTTGCAGCGTAGAAGATAATGTGACGTGACATGACTCTCACTGCATAGGTAGGTATATGTCCTTCATGTATGTCGGAGGCACAGATTTACTAAGCAAACTGATGAGTGACAATGAGGAAAGTCCAACTGTTAATTTCAGGGGGCAATGCGGGCTTTCGGCACGGGTCCCATGGTGTGCCTATAGTATCGATCGATATGGACACCCCTGAATCTCAATGTAACCTTTCGGTACACCAACACTCCGGCACCTGGCACCTTAAGCTTTTGACTTCTAACTCTGCTGTTTTGTGAGATGGCTTGAATCCTTCTAGTGATAAGGAAGAGAAAAGATGCTGTCGACGATTTTAGTGGCCACTTTGGTCACGACATTTACTTCATTATATTTACTCGTCATTCGACCCACAAAGCAACAGGGCCAGATACCTCGCATCGGCAAGAAACCAGGACTCTTGGGAAACACATCCGATAGCCATTTCTTCAAACATAGCTTGGAGCTCATTGAAGAAGGGTATTCAAAGGTATAGGCTAATCCTTTGAGTATTATTTCCATCTATGTTTCTAACACGTGAATAGTACAAAGATTCTGTGTATTCATTATGGACGACAGATATGGATCGAGTCATTGTTTCTCGAAAGTTCATGAAAGATTTCAGTGTTCTTCCAAGAAAACAAGTGCGTCTTACTGCATCGGTTCGACACGCTGGTCCATATACTGGCTTCGATATTGCGGAGGAAAGTGACCTGCAGTTCCTTGTTTGTGCAGGGCAACTTTCTCAAAATATAGGTATTGAATGCTAGCTCTCATCAAGTTATATACAACTCACTTACAATTGAAAGGGCGTCTTGCTCAGCCTACATACGATGAGATATTATTTAGAATAAACTCGAAGCTCAAGAAGACCGAGAGCAAAGATGGTGTGTAGAGCTTGCATATAACATACCTAGTGATCAGCTTGATTGACAGATTGCCAGGCAATTATAGCTTTCCGCTGTTCGGTCTCGCCATTGAACTTATTACCAGCGCCAGTGCTCGTGCTTTTGTTGGACCGGAGCTATGTAGAAATCCAGAATGGTTGGCTACCGCAACCGGTTACACTATAGAGTGAGTTGAAGATCGTCTTCCTCGCTTGTCTGCTAATTGATGTCATTTATAGCTCCGGTAATGTAGCTACCGATCTCAAGAAGCACTATAGACTTCTCCATCCTATCATTGCTCCTTTCCTTAAATCCTATAAACAGATCCGCACTCGGTTTTCTGTGGCCCGCAAGCTTCTACTTCCACTCATACAGGAGCGCAGGTCAACTACTTCGAAAGAGCATCCGGATATGGTACAATGGCTAATCGACTCTGCTCGTGGGCCTGATGCAGAAATAGACAAACTGGTAACGCGTATGCTTTTTCTTAACGCAGCTGCGATACATACAACGGCAGAGGTCGCGACAAACGCCATACTAGATCTCTGTGCTAGACCGGAAGACCTGAAAACTTTGAAGGAAGAATTGTCAATGATAACCGAAGAAGCTGAAGATTCCGATATCACTGTTCGGACGCTATCTTCTCTTAAGAAGATGGACAGTTTCATAAAGGAATCACATCGCGTAAATACTCTTGGTTTAAGTATGACCACCAACACAACTATAGAAGTCACAATGTCTAACATATGTTTCTTGTCCAGTGACTTTCAATCGTCAACTTGCAGTACCTGTAACGCTCTCAAATGGAGTGACTCTGCCCAAAAACACATATATATCGATGACCCATTACCTTATCAACAAAGATCCCGAGCTATACCCCTCTGCAAATACGTTTGACCCTTTAAGGTTTTACACACAACGGCAAGAACCAGGTCAAGAGGAGCGATATCAATTCTCTTCTTTGAGCTCAGAGAACCCATCTTGGGGCGTAGGAAAGTTTGCTTGCCCAGGTCGTTTCTGGGCGAGTGCTCAAATCAAATTGTTGCTGATGGTTCTCTTAAACGAGTTTGAGATCAGCTATCCGGAGGGGCAGACGGAACGCCCACAAAATGTAGTCAAAGGCGAAAAGAATCAAGTCAGTGTGAGTCAGCGAATTATTTTGAGAAGAAAAAATTGAAAGGCATGTAATTATATTATTCTATGGCTATCAAACATGGAATGGTGGATGAAAGCACAAAGTAAATATGGAGAGAATTAAATAGGAGGAAATGAGCCTTTATAATTTTGAACGCCGCACAATATCAAAAAACACAATTTTATTTTTAAAGGGGTCTTTAGGCATATGATGATTTTCTCTCCACATTCTTTTACCTGAGCTGTATCCTGATAAGCTAGCACGCCCCGATATTCACCAAGAAGATGTGAATGATGGCCTAGCAATTACCACGTACACTTCTTCAATCTACCAAAGCTTCTTAGGCTACAGTGTAGTCATTAGCAAAAGGACAGCCTGTGAATATGTGGAAAATATCCGATGGATGTGAGGCAAACATACGGTGAAGAATATTGAGAGTACCAAGGACAGAGCTGCTGCTGCGTAAATGAGGATATATCTAAATATTCTTAGCATCTAATTTGATGGAACACGTGGAAGATTACACTCACGTATCTGTCAGAGCATCAACAATGATGGTGAGAACCTCCTTAGTCTGCACCTCATTCAGCTGATCATCAAGACCACCACCAATTTGTGTGATTAGATTGCTCAATTGCGAAGCTGAGAAGGATGGCACTATTTGCCGCACTCGAGGTAGTGAAACGTTCTGAAATATGGCTCCAGCAATCGCAAGACCGAGTGTGGTTCCAGTGAGTTGCGCTATATTGTAAGATTGATCAACACAATTGGTCAGCAATGAGGGAATTTTCTTACCAATTAGCATGAGGGATATTGCGCGGTGAATATCGGTCGGGGGCACTAATCTTTGTGCTACTGCAAAACCTGCTTGGCCATAGCAACCCGTTCCTACTCCAGATAAGACCTGAAGTCCGTATATGACAGCATCGGATGTGGTGATGTTGATACGACCTAACATACAAGTCAAGTCAATATGGCTTTCATTGTTATATCAGGAGAAGATATTAGGACAAATCATACTCAGAAAGACACCAGCGAGAATGTTCAAAATACTTCCGGCGATATACCATGGCTGATACCATCCTAGCTTTCCCATAAGACGTCCTCGAATGGCACTAGAAGTCACCCAGAAGCATATCAAAGGAAGTGTTTTGACTCCGGCTCGGAGAGCAGAATCTCCCTTTGAGAGTATTGACATTAGTGGAAAGATACAAGATTAGACGGGAAGGTTTGCAATATACCTTAGCTAATTGGAAGAAAACCGGGATATAGTATAACGGAACAGGTACTATAAGTGCAACGGCAACTACGAGGTGTAAGCGATTGTCTGGAATAGATATAAGATATCCTTACCTTGACACACAAAGCATATGATCATATCCTTTGTCTTGAGAATATGTATCGGTAGCACGCGAAGCGCCTGAGTAGTCAAAAAGTTGAAGTGCTGCTGCAAGAAGAGGGCAATAAATAATACCCCAGAAACTACAAACAAAACAATAATTTGCCAGCTGTGCCAAGGATATAGTGTGCCTCCAAAATTGATAGCGATGATACCAGCAACGAAAGCACCGCAGCTCAATACACTGCCCGCCCAATCTATCGTTTGGATTTTAGAAAGAAAGGATTCTGTTGGACGAGGAGTGTACGATGGTATTATAAAGAAGTACACCGGAACGAAAATGCAAACCACGGGTGCATTGATATAGAATCCCTAGAAAATATGAGCCTAGTTGAAAGTCTAATCAACGAAACCTACCCATCTCCAAGTTGCAGAACTATCCGTAAAGGCACCTCCAATCAGGGGTCCAATAACAGATCCGAATCCCCAGACCAAAGCACTTCGCGAATCGTTAGTTGACACCAAAAGCATCTATTGAAGCACCTACAGATATCCCATATATTCTGTTGTTTCCTTGGGGCTAGTGTTGACCGATATCAACGTGAGAGCCCCAAGATACATACCAGTGCCCTTTTTAAGTGGTCAGTGATGGCTAGTAGGGAAATGATGTGTTACATACGCCAACTCCTCCTATCACACGGCCAAAAATCAGTGCGGTCATATTCGGAGATGCACCACATATGATGGAGCCGGCGACGAATAGTAACGAGAACTTCCAGTGTCAGAATTTTATAGTGGAAGAGCGTCATCATCAAGGTGCAAACCGCTATGTACAAGATCTTGGCGTTGAAGGACGCAAAGAGCTTCCCATTAACTAATGCCGTGGCCGTTCCTGCCATCAAGAAACTCAGAAAAATGTCAGATAGCTCATCTTTAGGGATTGCACAAGACTCATATTACCCCACGGAAATCCATGGTAAATTTTGAACTTCACCGAAATCTTTGACGATGACCTACACAACATGGTGTAAGTTTGACACATGGTACTTGTTGGCTTTGGTAGAACATACAGGTTGAATCACAGCTACTATTGTATTGTCGATGGCATAGAAGCAAAGATTCGAGAGAATGGCGACAACCAGTAGGACCCACTAAACGGTATACTCTCGTCAGTCCCCGCACTATTATTCAGGCATGACCTTAGGGTCTGTTTGAAGGAAACGACTTGTCAATACTTTGATGCCATGTATAGTTCTTTGTCTTTCTGGCAATTTCGCAGGCTGACTTGATCCGGTTTCGAGTTTTGTATCAAGGTCCTGTTTTTCATCTCCCGTAGGCACTGTTGCTGCTGCTTTCTCTTCGTCGGCTGTCGTCATAACCGGTCGATGGTTATCTTTGACGGCACTAGAAGCTCTCGGCGCGCCCGTTGGATTGGATTCCATGATCTCTAGACTGGTGATTGTACAGGGTAAGAGAAGTCAGTGAAAGTACTGGCAGCTCCTTTGAGGTGTGGCCGCAGTCATTTTGGGCTTTTTATTTCTATAGACACCGCTACTTTCTGTCTATCCCATTTCTAGTAGGTAGTACCAAGTTGGAAGCATGTTGAAAGTGCTGGAGTTGCGGTCCAACAGAATTGGTAGAATACGACATGGGGTAATTTTGGGTCGATGTATCCCTTGATCGCTCGCAAGTTCGTTTATATCCACGTCTGTAACCCACTAGAAGTTTAATTTGCTGTACTTAAAATGATTATGTCTTTCATACTGTACAAGGTGGTGAGCACTAGCAAGGAGACTTTCGGTTGTAAGATTCATGTATTTCCTTTTAACCAATCGGATTTTGCAAAATACTCCGTGGAGATGCACTATGATGACGTTATATATATCTCGGTATATGTATGTATTACTAAGACTATTTGCCGAATTCCGCACTTTCTCCACCGTGTCCACTGTGTTTTCAATATTTTGTACCAAATCCAAAAAACAACACGACACAAATAAATATGATTATAGAAGTATTGAAATAAGAGTATTTTCGACGTATAGTTGTAATTGAGTAACTTGATGTATCTTTTTTGTTCTCACGAAGCCATTAAATTTCAATACGACCAGGTATACACACTGGGCTAGGCGAGTAGTTACATTCGCAAATGGAGTACATACCCAAACGACACCGACACATGACAATTTCGATTCATGAGAACCTGGAAGTATCCTTGTTAGTCGCGCATAAAGATACTACTGGCACTGCAGGAGATGAATGCATATGTATGTCTTATCAGTGCCTCATTATATCACATTGCGAAGGATTCGTGCATCGGCAGCAAAGCCATGGAGCAAGTGCTAGATTAGGACAGTAAGAACAGAAACCTTAGGATCGAAGATATTGCTAGCTAAGAGATGTAAAGTGCGGGGGAGGGCATTAGAGGCGAAGATCCGTTTATATGCTATTGAGTGGAATCACTGGACTTCCTGAGATACAGACCGATCAGAGAGTCGACAATTTCGATTAAAATGGCCCTCATAGAGCTCACTGGTTATGGTGAGGCTGCAACAACAAAACCGGTATTGGCACTGGTCGCAATATGTGGCATTCTATTAGGCTCGTGGCTCAGGGCTGTGCTCTTTCCCCATGGCAATGCTGCGGTGAAAGCTCCTATTGTTGGCCTGAGATGGGCTTACCCCGCGAGGGTTCAGTATCTCAACAACGCAATGAACCTCCTTCAAGAAGGATATCGTCAGGTAAGGCCTTTGTCTGCTCCATCGATGATACTATGAACCATTGTTCTGATAAGTACTTAGTACAAAGATCAATTCTTCAAAATAAATGGAAATGACATGTTAGTTGTGCCCAACAAGTACGTCAATGAGCTTCGAGCCATTCCAGAAGAGAAACTCAGCTCCATGGTTGCAAATATTGAGGCAAGTCACCCATGCAGTTTTTAGTAGCCCAGACTGCAGTCCAACAATCACAAGTTTTCACTGTCTGAATCCGATCAGATGATTCAAATAGTATGAAATGTCAAATTTTCTTTGAAATGTAACCCGCTTTCAACTGTTGGACGCAAAGTATTGACCTTTATGTAGAATTTTCAAGGCAACTATAACACTATCGATATCTTGCTGCGTGGTAACCTTCACACTCATGCCATTCATACGCGACTTACCCCTAAGCTGGGGCTCTTTGTGCCTTTGATATGTGAAGAAATGAAATGGGCATTGACGCAAGAGATACCTCCGTGCAAAGGTTCGGCTTCTTTAAACCATTTTCACTTCGTCTGCTATCACAAACTAACGTTTGCCAGATAAATGGGTTTCCGTACTTGGGTTTGACACCGTAGTAAAGTTGGTTGTGCATGATTTCGCACGAATATCAGTTGCCTCCTTGGAGCGCAACAAGGAATGGATGGAAATCCAAAGAATGTTCCCGGAGAACGTTTTCCGAGTTGCAATTCAAATGAGGGTCATTCCGCCCTACCTTAAACGCATCTCATCATATCTCATGCCCGCTAGTTGGGCCGTCTCTCGGAATCTTCACAACGCGCAAAGACTAATCACACCCATTGTGGAAGAGCGCAGGCGAATGGAAACAGTGAAAGATCCAGATTACAAACCACCAAATGATTTTCTGCAATGGTTAATGGATGAGGCGTGGAACGAGCGGGATGGACAACCGGCAGAGCTAGTCCATAGACTACTTGTTTTGGCATTGGCGTCTGTTCATACAACTTCTATGACGGCAACTCAGGTTCTTTATGACATTATTGCTCATCCAGAATACCTCGAGCCACTTCGTGAAGAAATCTTGCAAGCTCTAAAGGAGGATGGCGGCTGGCAGAAGACGACACTCACAAAAATGAGGAAGCTTGACAGTTTCATGAAAGAGTCACAACGACTAAACGGTCCCAGTCTTAGTAAGTTTTCTCATAGTTACTTTATAAATTCACTTTTCTAACGCGGTTAGTTGGTTTCAAACGTGCTGCGATGGAAGACATAACGCTTTCCGACGGCACAGTACTTCCAAAGGGTGTTCATATGGTAGTGCCTGTCGTGCCGATTTCTCTCGAGTCTGTAACTCCCGATCCTGGTGTTTTCCAGGGGTTTCGCTTCTATTACGAGAGGCAAAAGCCGGGAAAAAGCAACCTTCATCAATTCGCCATGACTGATAAGAACAACATGCATTTTGGTCATGGAAAATACTCCTGTCCTGGCAGATTCTTTGCAGCACATGCCATCAAAATCCTGATTGCTCATCTTATCCTCAACTACGATTTCAAATTTCCAGAAGGCAAATCGCGACCAGGAAATTTGTTAGCTCATGAGTATTGTTTTCCAGACCCTACAGCACACATTTTAGTGAAGGAACGAGATGGCCCCTGGAGTATATGATTGCGTCTCATTTTTAATTGACATACCAAATTTCTCCTGTCGTTTGCATATGTTTGAAGGATGAACTGATTCTTACGATCGAATGCCCTTAATCATTCTATCTAGATTTGAATTTTAAATGCTTAGGAACTTACCTTAGTGCTTTCTGGAATTAAGTCCAACTCAACTCTGAAATAATAAAGCATTCTCATTTGTGCGTCCACACTCACATTTCTAGATTAAAAGTAGACTTGGTGGTGAACAACAGCTCTTGAGCGTTAATATTAACCATTTCTACTCTATCGGGGTTTGCTTGAAGAGGCAGTTCTAACGGCTTTACCTTCCTATTTCATCGACCACATCATGAAGAGGAACATGAACAGCAACACATTTGAGATCGTAAATGCATAGCCATTAAGAAGTCTTTCCTGAAATGCTGACACAAATTTCGAGGGATTACTCCAGAAAACTGAACGAGGCTTTCTCAAACCGACGTCGAACAATCAGATATCTAAGCAATCAAATTTTTTCGAGACCCCAGCAGAAGGATAAATTGATAAAATCTTAGGTGAGATTTTAATCTGTTATCCGACAATCCATGTAGATTCTTTCTGAAAGTTTTACTGGCTAGGATAATGCACGGGGGGCAGGACAAAAAACCCAGACGATCAAAAACATTTCGCTCTTTTTAATGTTCGATATGAAAGTGAGCAATCATTTATTTGGAATGAAATTTGAGAAGTTTCGTATATTTAAGGGGGTTCAAAATGCAATATAACATGAAGATTGATATCGTGAGAAGATACCGAAATACACGTGTTCCAAATACATGTTTCTATTTAAGTGATTAAGTCTATCGGGATTTCGCCTATGAAGGGGGGTGGGTGTGGGGTTGAGCATTGAGCCCTGAACAAGTGCAGACCTCTGTCTCTTGATACTTTCGAAGATATCCGGAACGTCTCGGATCACACTTCCAAGCCTTTTCCGAGCGGAAAAAGAGATTTAAAAAATGTGCCTCTGCAGGTTCTCAAAATTGCATAGTTGAACCTGGAACCAGCCCGCCCTGGATAAAATTGGCGCTTAAAATCTGCCCTTCCTCGCCTCGGCGGTTCATCTATATTGTAGTAGTAGTTCTTCAGCAATAAACTATACGATACTATAGCATATAAGCACTAATGCACAGACTATCGAAATACGTATTGCGACCTTTAGAATGTACATTTGTGAAGTTAATTTTTCTACTAAATACATGCATTGCGCCGTCAGATGTATTCAATCTACAACAGCAAATAGATACATGTGCTGCGCTGCTGAAATTTAACCGCCTGAACGGTAGATTCCTTAACATATGCATGACTACTCTATTACAAGGTCGTAATAATATGGTCAGATATGATCTATTGTCAGCTCAAGCAATTACTGCCATCTAGACGTCCCATTTACTGTAAGCGGAAACAGGAGGCACATGATTACACAGGCTGATTTCCAGGGTCATTATCTCATCATTGGATAGATACGATACCACCCACTGTTGCCACCATTACTAAAGATTTATGGCTTAGCCACTAGCTATTTTCTCACGCGTGTTACTATTGGAGGGCTTCATGGATCAATATCGTATCTTTCTACTTAGATACATTCATGATTACCGGATCTTACGGTATCACGAATTTCCGAAGTTGTATGCCCAACTACCACCCTCCATCAGCCTTTGAAGGGGGCTTTTTTGAAACCATGGCGAAAGATTTGAGATGAAGGATCTCTACATTTGAATTTTGAAGTCTTCATTTATGCAATCAAGAATGAGAAATCTAATCATATGAACTCTGTATAATACACGCACCGGAACCACCAAGACATCTACAACAAGCTGATTGAGTCCACTTCTCCACAACTTTCTTTGGGTTAGCAGAGCCCGTGCGTTCCTTACAATGGCAATTTTTGACCTCATCGGTAGAGAAGGTTTCGTTGCAGCACCGGCTCCACCAGGAGTGACACCAAATTTCGACCATCCCGAAAGCAATGGCGGAATGTACATGGCAGGAACTCTCACAACACTATGTGTTGCATTCATCTTTGTGGTTCTTCGTCTGGCGACCAAAGTGTCTATGGCAGGAAGAAAGCTAGGATGGGATGACGGTAAGTGTCATTGTAACACTAGGCATTCTTCGGACAATACTAATGTACTTCCAGTTCTGATCGTTTTTGCGCTGGTATGACTGCCAACAAGAGCAAATGCGAATTTCCTGCTTACATTATGTAGGCCTTTTCGATTGCCAGAGCCACCTGCTTCATTGTTGGTCAGTACCACTCGATCCTTCGTTGATTCGCATAATAGCTCAGAATATTTAGACATCGAACATTATGGGATTGCGCACCATGTTTGGGACCTTCGTCTCCCATTGAACCGGAATACTTGGCTGGTAGGTTTCAGAGATGATCAAGAAAGGGGCTCCAATTGACGGAACGATAGCTTCATAGAATTGGGGATATAATGTGGCCTCCCGGAATCCTTTGCGCCAAAGTATCCATCTTGATGTATTATTTGTCGATTTTCAGACCAAGCAAAACCTTTCGCTGGACTGTTTATGGAACTCTGGTATTCACGATTTGTTACCTCGTCGCATCAACATTGGTGCAGATCTTTTGGTGCAACCCCGTCGCTGCGGCGTTTGGAATCAAAACCCCCGGCAAAAAGGCTGTCTGCCTAGACGGCTATGTGACTGACCTTGCAATCGGTGCCCTAAATCTACTCACGGATATCATAATTCTTGTTCTGCCCATGCCCATGTTGTACACATTACAGCTGAGTCGGGGACGAAAGTTGGGACTAGCAGCAATATTCGCTATTGGTGGTTTGTGAGTGAATATAAATGCTACGAAAAGAACATCATTCTGACCAGGAAACAGTGCCGTGGGAGCTACTCTGGCTCGAAACGTTGAGATAGCCGTGAAACTCAAGGATAGTGACGCAGATCAAACCTGGGACGTTATGTACGAGGCCGTATGGATGTAAGCCATTCTACAATCGCGGAAATGATACTGAGCTAACAAGCATAAGATCCATCGAGTTGAACGTAACAATCATCTGTTCGTGTCTGCTCGTCTGTCCGCAACTTTTCCGCTATGTCTTGACCAACACAAAAGTTGGACAGTCTTTACGAAGTCTTTTCGGCTCAACCCGTACGACACAGAACTCTGTAAGCAGAGGCTCTTTATCTGGGTTTAATCAACGAGGCCCACGGTCCAAACACTATTTACCACAAGATAGTGAGATTGAGCTTGATAGAAAGAGTGCTAGGAGCTTTTCTGATGAGATACCTGAAGGTGCCATTAGAGAAACTAGAACAGTAGATCAGACCATCGCGTAGAATACTCGCTCTCAGCTTATCATCAGTGGCGTGTACTGGTGGAGCTGTTCTGTACTTTTAAAATAGTTCAACCCGAAGAATTTTTTTCATGTGAAATGCGGGCTGCCAACTCTTAGACCGAGAATGTTGATATTTGCCCATATGTCAAATCACAGGGGCATTTTCAGAAAAAGGTATGAAAATATTAGATTTCTGATAAATTGAAGGCTTTTGTGATACACTCAAATGATTTGGAGTTTGAAATATCGATTGCTTGATTTGATGTTGAAGAGAGTGAGCGTCCTTTTCGTGTTGCGATTTTTTTTTCCACACGAGTGCTTGTGTCTAGTCACGTGACGTTGATGCTCTGAATCGAAAACATCTCAGTCTGTTTGAGCTGTTGATTCTTCAAGCTGACAAACCCTAAGGCATACATATCAATTTTCGAATGAATGGGCGTGTATCGTGTAATTGATGAGATGGGACGAGGAATCTAGAGACAAAAGTGTGATCGCATGATGCGCACCTGATGAAAGAGATGTGATGATAATCAATCTCGACTTTTTACTTCGCAGATGAACACGTGTGGCGACGCGTAACTAATACTAGGTACCTTCTGTTTAGATATTTATTGGCTTGTCTCGTTTGTCTTGTCAAGCGTTATGGTCGTATTAAGCTTTAGGCGTTAGCTCGGTAGGTGGGCCAGCATGCTAGGGGGGTAGTGACGCTAGGCTTTCCTGCCCCGAGTACACAGGAGAGTTGCAGTACTAATGCTGCTTATGAAAGTAAGCACATAAACTATAATTTAAATAGGGTGAGTGATATACAATCCCTAAGTCTCAAAGCCGAAGGATTTTGTTCATGATTAGTGACCAAGACTTCCTCAAGAATCAGCCCAATAAGATCCTAGGTACATGTCACTGCCTGCATAATTTGAGATTATACAAAACATGGGAAAGTTATTTTTACGGAAGGTGGTAGAGGTTCTGTTTGTCCGTCAGATGTTACATTGCTTAAGTCAAGCTTGTAGAGCTTCTTCCATGCTTTAGTCCGGGGTATTTTTCCAGGTTCTCAATCCTGGGGTTCTGCAGGAGATATTGCTACATGGCATTGACGATGCCCGCGGAGTTGCAACAATAGTTTCATGCTGAGTGCTGTTTCCTGACGATGTGAAGATATCTGGAATAGTTTTCGGATAGTTAGGTATGCCCATCAGAACTGTTGAACACAGACATATTCTGCCGTTTCCCCGTGCTCTCCACCACCAAGTATAGGGTGAATAATGGATCACTATTTTCCTAATGAATTTGGACCAAAGGCTGTCAGCCTGTACCTTGTGGCTTTTTTTCTAGCAGTAAGTTACAGTTGTAGTCCTCTTTGTTGTCCTAAATTTTGCGTGCGCACTTTCTCTGTTTCGAACTGAAACGTCTCTAGTATAATACTTTCCGATGTTTCTACAACTACTTTTTTCACCCGCTGGCTAAGTACCCAGGCCCACTGCTCTGGAGCATTTCCCGTCTTCCATACGCAATATCTCTGTCTCGCGGTAACCTGGTCCATGACACTTGGGCCATTCACACGAAATATGGCAAGGTTGTACGATTAGCACCAGACGAACTATCCTTCATCGATGGCCAAGCATGGCATGATATCTATGGAGCGCGAGGTCGTGGACATTCTGAATTTACAAAAAACCCCGCTTGGATTAGACCAGCTCCAAATGGAGTCTTCTCAATTCTGGATTCTTTCGAGGATGATCACACAAGGCAAAGGAAGATCTTGAATCATGCCTTCTCTCCAAGCGCCCTGAAAGCTCAAGAGCCGTTCTTGCAGAAATATACGGGACTATTGATACAAGAAGCTCGAACACGAAGATTCCTGGATTTGAAAGACTGGTACAATTTTACTACCTTTGATATTACGGCAAGTGTAATCTTCGTGTGAAATGGAGTGAGATTCTGACAACATGAAACACAGGGTGACTTGACATTTGGACAATCGTTTGAATGTCTCGCCAAAGGAAAATATCATCGCTGGGTATCGTTCCTCTTTGCCCATCTCAAAGCATCGTGCCTCCTGGCCAGTATAACTTTTTACCCGGTAATTGATAAGATTTTATGGTACTGTATCCCCAAATCAGCCTTCAACGAACGTATATATCATTTTCGCCGTAGTGTGGAATGGGTGCAAAAACGTCTCAATCTAGAGACTGGTCGCAATGACTTCATGTCATATATCGTTGGCGCTAATACGAAGAATACGATGACCATGCCGGAAATAGAAGCAACAGCAGGAACATTGGTCATTGCAGGAAGTGAAACTACTTCGACAGTGCTACTTTCAACAACGAGAAACCTAATGCTGCAGCCTGAGAAGATGGAAAAGTTGAAGAAAGAGATTAGAGAGACGTTCTCGGATGAGTCTGAAATTACACTAAAGGCTCTCGAGAACCTCCCTTATCTCACAGCGGTATTCCAAGAGAATTTTCGATATACTCCGCCAGTGCCGTGCTCCATACCGCGTACTGTGCCGGATGGTGGTGACACAATTGCTGGAGATATGTATCCAGGAGGCGTAAGTCCAGTTCAGTTCTAACTTCCTCTCATGAAATTGAAACACAACTAATTCCTCCATCTCTTTGAAGACATTCGTCGGACTTCCTCAAATCGCTGCATATCGCTACGCCGATCACTTTGCACATGCCGACCACTTCATACCAGAGCGCTGGCTGACATCAACCTCATCTCCTCTGTTCGAACCAACTACTTCCGATCCATACTTCGACAAGGAAACCTTCAAAAATGATAACTTCAAGATTGTGCAACCGTTTAGTGTTGGACCACGAAACTGCATTGCGCAAGTTTTAGCTCATGCCGAGATGAAACTCATACTAGGCCGTTTGTTGTGGAATTTTGATTTCCGCATTCCGGAAGGAAGGGAAGGAGAAGATTTTTACAACAAGTTATGGGTGGAGCAAAAGACATATGGCTTGTGGGTGAAGGAGCCATATGTTCTAGAAATGGTTCCTGTTGTGAGATAGAATAAGAAGTTGGATCTTCTGCCTAAGACCTATCGTCAGTGAAGCTAGAGATCTCAATGATAGCTATATGTCTTCCAATTCAAAATACATGCCTTTCCAAATTCTCACATTATTTATGAAGTATATTAATATCGTATATGTAAATTACTAATCAACCCTACGAACCTGAAGATTGATTTCGAACAGCTGCCGCGTCTACCTGTGCTATCCGCTCATTCCTCGTATGAGTCGCAGAAATGATCATTATCCGCCGAATATTGTGACAGTGATGCGAAATCGCCACATATCATTTTCTGTTCATATTCTAGTCTAATTCAATGAAGACTGGCAAACTATTCCCCCGAATCAATTTCATCAACCAAATGAGATTTCGTCCATTTCTGCCAACTTTCACACGTCGGCGATATTGAATTCAAAGCCTGGGAGTTATTTGCTAACACATCTGGTTGTTCCTGGAAAAGGTCAGTGAATGAAATATAGAAGCCGTGGAATAATTTCTAGGTTAAGATACGCACCAATACATTAATTAATAGCCCAGTTGAGACATGTCCAGCGACGTGGCAGTGAAACGGCCATACGCCAGGATTATCAGCAACATATTCAATGACAGTGTACGCCTTTGGGCCACTTCTAAGAGCTGCTGCCATCATGAAAGTATCCCTTCTGATCGGATTAGATGGATTAGTTATGGTTCCATCCCATGTGCCAACTCCTTCCGCCAGTATCCAAAAGTTATGACCATGAAGATGCATAGGATGAGAGACTGGCACGCTGTTTGTAATTATTAGACGAACAGTGGCAGGCGTTCCAAAATCATGAACGTTCATAGTAGTTGGATAGAGCGATGTGCTGTTGGTATATATACCGCTGTTCGACGTTGATGTTGTCGCTGTTGCTGCTGTAAGAAGGACTGGCTGGTTGTAATCCGCCCGGAAAGAGCTGCCACCGAAGGTGAATAGAAACATGCCGGATCCATTGATAAGATAATTTATGTCTATTGTTTGGGTGACTTGTGGTGTAACTGGCGGAGTACTCTTGATATATGGGGTAGTTGTATTAAGGGGATCCTGAATGTCTGGTTAGAGATGGTACTTTCTTGTATGGTCTTAAGAGAGGGCCACTTACGTTCAAGCAATTGGTTTCATTATAAGGAAATGCTGTGGATTTGGGCCTGCTGTTTGGGTCGGCGCCGTCGTACAATACCACGGCTAGAGCGTTCGGCTGTAGACTGGGGCTAGATGCGCACAGCTGGCTAAAGTTGGAACGCATCCAATATGACGATCCCACCTTGCCAACAGCTTTAACTATCACGTCTGTGCGCTGTCCAACTCCTACAGTTACCACGTTCGTGTCATATGGTACAACTGGAACGAAATCAACAGCGATAACTGTCAATAAATGCCCATCGATACTGAATTTCTGGTTCCCTTCTGTGCCTGGGTTTATGAGACGAAGGCGGTGCGTCTTACCCGGGTGAAAATGAAACTTAGAAAGCCCAGCGTTGGCTGTGCAAGAGGCATTCACAGTGATCGCGCTACAATTGAAATCCATCTTTCCGTTGATCAGGTTGTTGTTGGCTGCAAGCGGATTTGCAGGCACTGAGAAAAGTCGTTCCACCACTTGGTAGTAATCGGCGTGATACCAATCATGCTGCAATTCATCATGAGCCCAAGAACACGGATGATCTATTAAGAATTACTTACGAGCATAACTGGGCCGATATCAATATCATAATGGACGTTCTGAGGGCTGTTTGAACGTTAATGATAGGGCCTTAGGAAAGATCGAGAATGAACGAACCCATATATGACTAATGGTCCAAAAAGACCAGCGCCGTATTGACCACTGTAATGACTGTGATACCACGACTTGAATTTGTTGATTAGACTAGAATTTTATGGAAAAGGTCATTACTTACAGTGCCATATTGATCTGCCTGCGAGTTTGTTAGAAAAGATTACAAAGACACATATTAAGCTGAACATACTCTAAAGCGATACGTGAACTGGCTGCCAGGACTAATGGGACATTGGCTAATTCCCGGAACGCCATCCATCCAAGGTGTGCCCTTCTGCAGAAGCCCGTGCCAGTGAATAGTAGTTCCTTCATCTTTGATATGGTTTCGGACAGTGACTTGGATCATGTCACCCCAATTGGCATCAAGAAGTGGCCCAGGGAACTGCCCGTTGATGAGAATGACGCTATTGTACAATCTCGTTAGCAAAAAATGTTTGCCATATGAGTGGAGATATCTGTCTCGACCTACCTTTTGTTAACTCCGTCAGGAGCTATATATCCCCTAGTTATGGTCCAATCATAATATACAGTACGCCCTGTATTTGGAATCACTCCATAAGTGTTCTGCAGCGATGTTTGTGGCGCCTAGAAGACCGTCATTAATCTCGGTACACGGCCAAGATGGCATCTAGAGAACATACATTTGTTGAGTTATAGAGAGGTAATTGTGGTACATCGAGCGTCCCCCATAACGACAAGCCATTGGTCTGAAGTTGAGACAAGCTTGCCACGAGCAAAGTTGTGGCTTGGGTTATGAAGTCGGCGAAGAGCATTTCGAATGAGGTTTGGAGATGTTTCTCAACCTCAAAAGAAGACTATTGTATAACCAAATCAAAATTTGGAGTACTGAGCCGGGAACTTATACTTGTACTTGTGATTGCACAAAGAAGAACAGTCTTGGGTAGCCTTTGCTAATATACCAATAAACGATCCAATATTTGGAAGCATGCAGGCGTGTGGCGATATTATGGAACGTGGCTCTAAATCCCACATGGCTGTCATGTATTTGAATCCCTGCCGTGTTCCGGTAGCGAATGAGAATACCGTATTCCTGACAAGGTCGCAGGGGAGATAAATAAGAGTAGATATGGGTATGCAATAAACCCAGCGAAATTAAAAATACACACGCCATTGATGCCGATAGCTTGATTTCAGTTACATCCGGAAAATCTATGATTCTTCTCGAATCTTGAGCTGACATATTTTAGCTGCTACCTTCAGAGCATAATGAAGCCTCTGAATCCTATTAGCGAGGGTTATGGTCACTTGTCCTCTATTACCCACTACTGAAGAATTTGTTTTGGTGAACGCGCCCAACACAAATTTTCGAGTTTAGGATCCAAAAGCTATCTGGGAACATCTTGCGACCGAATGCGGCCGTAAGCCCGAGATCCTGGATATTGCGGTATCTTTAGGCTGTATGCATGCATAGTGTAAGCCGTAAACCTAGAAGAATCCTTCTATGTAAGTGTTTTTCGGTGTATCGTAATAAATGATCGTATTACTCTCACTATAATGTTCTTTCCAGGGTTATCAATCCTTTTCACATTGAGTCTCTTTTGTTCCAATTCGAGACTCGAAATGGAGTGGTGGGGTGACTGGCGGTGATTTTGTCTACCATGGATCCAGATAAGTGAAAGAAGAAGTGATTAGTCAATGAGTAGCTCTTGATTGTGCCGTTACCTTGAAGAAATCAACAATCATGTGGTTCAGAATCGAGCTTATGTCTCGAAAACCCCATCTTTCAGCCGACTAAGTGGTTTTCAAGATAAATGGCAACATATCTCACGATTCTATGTCAGGTTGGACGAGGGGGTGATCATGTGAAACCGGCTTGATCAGCGGTTTGTGTTGCCATGCGCTTAGATCAAGTATATTTAGTATGTTATTCGTACTTGATGAGCTACTAGTAGAACATGAGTGATGAAGGAAGGGGAGACGAGACTTCCCGATCTTTCAACCACTAGAATTTCGATTTCAGTATCGTGTAGGTACCAGGTAAGAACACAGGCAATCAAGAACCAAGAAGCGTGAACTTAAAGTCTAAAATTAGGTACTTTCAAGTGGATGAACTGAGATGGTGGACGACCTTCTGTGCGGCAAAATTCTTCAGCGAAATTCTGTGTGGGTATAGATCAAAAGCCTAAGGTTAATGTCTCTTGATTTGAGCACAATCAGTCGAACATTGATCAGATAATGGGCGATTTGAAGTGGTATAGGTGAGTGCATGCACCCGCACTTCTATATGATGTTTTCGTTTTGCAGCTATGTAACTAGAGCAGCATTCTATGTATAAATAGACAGAGCTTTTCTCGAATGAACCAGGACATAAACTTCATTTAAGAGTCCGAAAATTTTCATAATCATCTATTTTCTTGAATGACGAACGTGCGGTCAGCGATCTGCCATTTCTACCTAGCAAAGATCCTATGAGAGTGTTCCTCTTTAGTCCACTTGTATCTGAGTGTGTAGACTATGCTCTATATTTGACATACTGGGTACGCATAATATTAGGTACGTACGACAACAAGAGGAAATATCGCTAAGGGGAGGTGACAAAAATACGAAAAGATAATTTCACTAAAAACCGGACATGTCTCATATCGTACAATTGATTCCGAATATATTGCTCTTCAAGACTCCGATCATCTAGCCAGAAAAAAAAGGGAGAAAACAATTTGCTGCATTTGATGAGGAGGAAAACAACTATTTTCTCTACTCATCATCCTAAGAAAAAGAATTGAATTAAAAGGAAGGTTGAGAGATTTTGTCAGATCTTGTGACGAGAGTGCCTTCGAACTATTCAACTATTGATACTGTGGACACTGAACTATGGTCACTTTGGAGAACCTATCAAAAGACAACCTCTCAGGCTTCTCCTATAGAGCAAGACGTGGTCTATCAAGATCGTTGATGATGTAGAATGTCAGAAATTCTGAAAAGGATTGACTAACTCCATTGATGGACTTTAATGAGAACACTTACAACGCTCAAGGGCTTCTGGATGATGATGCAACTCCGGAGGATTATACCATCGGATGAAATAATGAATAAAGCGTTTTCTTCTGTGTAATGCAGAGACAAGTGCCAATGATAGCTTGGTTTCAATGTCTTGTGATGAATATAAATGAAAAACTTGATGAATTCACCTTACCGACATCTGGGTCCCTGAAGGCTACTTTTCAGTATTGGGAAGCAATTCCATATACCATCTGGAACTTCTTTAATCTGCAAAAAGAAAAGCACTGATTGAAGAGAATTGAAGAGGCAAAGTAATCTTCCATTAGAACAACGAACCGAAGTGATAACTGGTAAATTTTACACAGCAATTCACAATCTCATTCCTAACACCCAAAAAATCAATCCAAGCCGCACATCACCACCAATCCCCACCCTCCCATTTGATTACACCACGCACGTGATCATCAATACCTCTCATCTCATTTGTGTATTCACAGTCTAGCTTACTAATAACACCCACTAGCGGCTCATTCCAAGCAACATCACGAAATCTCCAAAAATACCTACAAATCGTACCACTACCGCATCTTCAATTGACACACCCGCCATGTTTCTCCAACGCTCAGCCATTGCTGCTGCTCGCAGAGCAGCCGTCTCTCCCGTCGTGAGACGCAGCTTCTCGTCTAGTATCATCAGAAGTATGTTTATCCTCGTTTGTTGTATCCCGAAAACTATTCGACCTCGGGTACGGAAGATCCTGGGTTTGAAGCTTGAGAAAAAGATAGACGGCTGGAGGATGGTTTGAGAGACGCATGGGCTAACTGTTATGCTTAGGAGAAGCCGCACCACCGGCCGGATCGAGCGACAGAAAGATCAAGAAGTTCGAAGGTGTGTTTATTCGCAAGGCCGGGGCGCGGGAAAATGGGGAAGGAAAGATGGGGACAGATGGACTGATATGTAATGCGCACCACGTGTAGAAATCAAGACCGAAGCCGACCTTCTCGGACCCGGTGCCGCGCCAGGAACCATCCCTACTGATCTCGACCAAGCGACTGGTCTCGAGCGTCTTGAGATCTTGGGAAAGATGCAGGGAGTTGATATTTTTGATATGAAGCCTTTGGATGCTTCCCGAAAAGGTACGCTTGCGTGGGTTTCTTAGGGTGAATGTCTGGCTTGGATTGTTGTGTATGATGTTTGGGAGTGAGATGAACGGAACGGATGGAATCAAGACAGAAGGAATTTGCTAATCGATGAGGAATGTATAGGCACGTTGGATAACCCAATCATTGTCAAGTCTTTCGGTGATGAGCAATATGCCGGCTGTACTGGATACCCAGTTGACTCGCACGTTACTATCTGGCTTACAGTACGTCTAACAAACTCTTCATTTCTCCTTTCTACATGCCATGCCACCTTCCAGTACTAACTCTTCCACAGATGTCCCGCGACCGTCCCGTCGAGCGTTGCCCAGAGTGCGGAAACGTTTTAAAAATGGAATATGTTGGTCCACAAGAAGATGCTCACGACCACCACCACGACCACCACGATGATGGACACCACAACTACGAAGAGCCAAAGACCTTTGCTGATTTCGTCAAACCGGAATACAGATAAAGGAAGAGGGAAGGTGTTTCTGATGCGTTGAAAATGTTAGACGAGGGTGGGAATGTAGAATAGTAGAGCGCGAAGTTGACATGTTCTCATAACCTTTCACTAGTCGTGCTCGATTTGATTACATGCAAGGTGCGCTTCCATGATCGATTTTCAATACCTAAAAGTTTCAATTTTGAACTGCCTACTTTTATTCTCATCTGATTATTTTGTTTGCTGTGGAATTGCTCCAATATTTCTATGTAAAGCACAAATTTTCCGTGTCATTTTGTCCCACGCCCATTCTTTTTCAAAGCGAACCAAAACCCACGAATTTCCAGCAAACTAGCTCCAAGCTCTCGCGTTTCCATCTCCATTTCGCAAGTCAACCCTTTTCTGAGCTCAAATTTATAATCCGGTTGATAAAAAAAAAAGATAAAAAAAACCCAATCGCTAATCTCCAAACATGCTTCATTTATGCTTGAGTCGTGAATCATCGTCGCCATGTGCGTGTGCATATAAACAGCTGAACAGCAGATGCAGAATTTTGCAAGTTGTGTAAGGGGTATTGTGAATGAACCCGTCGATTAATCAAGGGCAAAAAAAAAGCTCAACGATACTCAATGATAAGAAGCACACCAATCCATTCGCGCTGAAGTGAAATGGAAGAAGCCCCTATGCCACCAGTACATGCAATTTGTAATGGCGGCCGTTGAGGAATATATAGTAGAAGAATGTCTTCGTATTAGTTTGAGGCAATAAAGACATTCGAATTGAGGCCTCAAGATCAGAATGTCATTTGTCGATTGATTGTTGTATGTCCTTAATTAGATGGACTTTGCTTCCTTGAAGGAGGCCTCGAATCGCCACTTTTGTCGGTACTCCTATTTTCGTCAAATTTGTCGTTTCCTGTTTGCTTTTCCTCGTCTGATTTGGGGCCATCCGTGTCTGAACTGGAACTAGAGTTGGAGCTAGAACTGTCATCATTGATTCGGCTCTCCGGAGTACGAGCAAGAGCCCTTGTCGCTTCCACTTTAACGGCAAGATTTACATCACTGTGGTGATCTGTCTCATACTCGCTCGCTTCCGTATTGCCACCTTTGACCTTGCTAGAGTGACTAGGAGTCTGAATGGAAGCTGCTTCACTGAGAGCTCTGGCTCTAGCCACCATCTCGGATGCTTTCTCAGCTGCTCGTTCGGCCCTAATTTGCTTCTTCCACATCTGCGCATATCGACCTTTCTTGAGTAATAGCTCACTATGGGTTCCAGCTTCAGCAACTTGTCCAGCATGAAGGACCAATATTTGATCTGCATTAGTAATGGTGGACAATCGATGGCTATAGTTTAAAAAAAATTAGTGAAAAGCGAATGAAAATTAGTCGGAATTCTTACGCAATGACTAGCATAGTACGGCCTTCGGACAAGGTCTTCAATGCTTCTTGGATGTGTTGTTCAGTGTCAGAATCTAATGCGGCAGTAGCTTCATCAAGCATGATGATTCGAGGATTTTTGATAATGGTTCGTGCTATGGCTACTCGTTGCTTCTCACCACCACTGAGACGAAGACCTCGCTCACCAACCTTCGTATCGTAACCATCCGGAAATGCGAGTATCTTGTCGTGAATCGAAGCAGCTCGACAGGCATTGTAAATATCTTCATCCGTTGCGTCTTGGTTGGCATACCGAAGGTTATACATAAGAGTCTCATTGAAGAGAATTGTGTCCTGTGGTACAACACCAATGTGATGTCTTAGCGAGTCTATGGTGACATCTCTAATGTCGTGGCCATCTAGCTGGATACTACCATTCTGAGTATTGTAAAATCGAAAGAGTAGCCGGAAAACGGTGGATTTTCCTCCTCCGGACTCTCCAACAAATGCTGTAGTGGTGCCTGGTTTGCAGGTAAAACTCAAGTCCTCCAGTGCAGGCTTACGGGTATCATAAGAAAATTTAACATGATTGAAGTCGATTCGGCCCTCGCATGCTGGCAGTGGCTTCGCACTCGGCTCATCAATAACAGTCGGCTCTTCTTTGAATAGTTCAAGGAGACGTTCGCCACTGATCATAGCACTTTGGACCCCCCGGTAGAAAGAACCAAAGAAATTCAGAGGCTGTTGAAGTTGACCCATATATGTGATGAGAGTCACAAACTGTCCCACTTGACGTTTACCAGTTGTGACTTGGTATGCAGCGATAAAAGAAGTTACGAGAAGTCCAGCCATGAAGACCAGGTTTTGACTGATGTTAAGGATATTCAAAGAAATTGTCACTTTGAATTCCATCTTTTGAAATGCCGAAACCGCTTGTCGGTAACGATTAAATTCATAAGTTTCAGCGTTGAAGTATTTAACAGTCTCATAAGACGTTAGAGAGTCATTCTTGACAGCGTCTTCCTCGCGGCTGAGGTTCTGCATTTGTCGACGTTGATCCGATCGCCATCTTGCCATCCGAATGGTAAGATAAAGATAAGAAAAGGTGATGATGCTAACCACGAGAGCGTAGTATGCGTCAAAGGCATATGCGAAATAACCGATGGCAACTCCAAGATCGAATATCATTGGAAGAACCTGGAAGGTCACTTGCTCTAGGAAATTATTGATGGCGTTACCCTTACTAAGTGCTGACAGGACTTCACCAGTGCGCTTTCCGAGATGGAAATCCAAACTCAGACCATGAACATGCTCAAATGAGGCTGTGGTTAAGGCCTTGTATGAATACTGAGAAATTGGAATCCACAGAACCGATCTAGCAGCTCCTAGGATTCCAGAAGATCCTTGAAGAAACTTGAAAGCAATGAGAAGAGAAATGGACAGCCATGGCATTGTAACCTCTTGATCATCATCGCCAGTAAGCGCATCAGTGACCCTTCCGACTTGCAAAGGAACCGCGATGTTCACTATTCGCTGCATGACGACAAGAAGGAAGCAAACAACAACTACTATTTGCAAGCGAACGGATCTAGCTGGCCAGAGATATGGAAAGAAGAGTGAATATCCTTTCAAATACTCCCACCATGTTTTGGTTGTAGCTGTTGTAGGTTTGTAAAACGCAGGCACTTCGTCCACACGCTGCTGACCAATCGGTCTTCCTTGAATGTCAACGCCCTGTGCTGCAGAACCATTCGCAGTCGCATGTCCATTTAACGATAAGGAGTCGGAAGCAGACGCATTTGCAATTGAGCCATTTCCAGAGACATGGCCGTTTCCATTCGCTCGGCCATTGAAAAGAAGGGGACTGTTCTCATCAGGCTCACTGCTGCTCTGCCGACTTCTATTTTTGCCTTTAATTGAACGTTCCAAAGTGAAGATGCAATAAAAAGCCACACAGAAGAAAAGTAGAACTACCCGAATTGCATCGAGTACCAGCTCAACAATTTCCCATTGAGTTGCGTATTTGTGAAAGTCCGGATTGAAGTTGAAAAGCGAGTTGAGTTCCCGGTGAGCTGAGGTGTATAAAGATAGCGAAGCGGCAAGAAGTACAATCTCACCGACCAGCGCAACTAACCATGTAACCTGATGTGCAATCGAAGGTGAGGGTGTTGTGTCGACCAACGAAATGAGAAAGACACTGTAGAAAAAAAGAGAGGCGCAGACGTATATCTGCATGAAACAATGATCAGTATCTACTTCATCCCAAATGGCAAATCGAAAAAGTGAATGCTCACAGCAGTTGCTTCGCCACACCACCAACCATTCTCCCGTTTATCAAGAGCGTGTACGACGATGTTGATCGCATTGCCGAGAAATGTTACTAGAACACCAGCTGAAAGCCAAAGAAATAACAATTTCTGAATAGGAGTGAAATCCTGCAGCCTGAGCTTATCCTTATCTTGTTTTGTCCTCCTAGCAGACCGCGGTAAAGGTTTTCCCCCAGGACCTGTGAGCATCGGTCCAGTTTCATCGGAAGATTCCGCCGTTAGAATGCTGTGTGTGATGAATGATATAAGAAAGACGACTAGAAGAACCCATGGATAATTGAAGTGCGTGAGGTTCAATATTGTTGCTGTGGTATAAGTACCAGTTCCATTTGAATACATACTGGAGCTTAAGCTCGAGTATTCATCGACACCCGCCATTACAAGTTATATTATGTTTGAAAGACTTCCCCTTCCTTCCTTCCCTCATCAGTATAACGGATTTGAAAGCGATCGTGGACGGCTCATGACCCTTTTCGATTGGGGCGAGCTTAATTTTGGGGGGAAAGTTTGTATCTCGAGGGAGCGCGATGCCAAAGTAGCTGTGGCTGGCTGTGTGGCGATACCGAGGTATAAAACGATTGAAATTGGACTTGATACCTAAAAAGGAATTAGAAGAGGAATGATCAGCGAGAGGAGTTCGAGTCAAAGTAATTCATCTGCGATTTGCGGTGTAACCAACAAACGCAGTTGTCGAGGTTAGAAGGAAGATGGACGGGCTTCAACAAATAGTAGATGTGATTGTGGAGTTGTAAATAAGTGATGGTGGCGGAGATGATGGTGGGGAATCTTCACTCAAAAAAAATACTTTAAATAGTTTCGTGTACTAACTTAAATACTGAATACCTACTTTGTGCTTTGGACCATAAAGTGAGGATCAAAAGTAGGTGAAGAAGACGAGAAGATGAGAGAGGAGGAAGAGGAATGGGAATGGGAATGGGAAGAGAAAGGAGACGAGGAAGAGGAGGAAGAGGAGGAAGAGGAAGAGAAGATAGTTTCTGAGATGAATTGAGACGAAGAAGAGTGAATAGTCTGTTGGCAGTGGTAATAGAACTAGAAGTAGGACTAGATGTGAAACTTGAAGTAGAACTAGACGTAGAACCAGAAGTAGAAGTAGAAGAAGATTGACGAGATGAGATGAGATGAAGTATACAAGAGGTAGTGAAGTAGTGAATTATCAGTATATGACAACTTGTTGGAAGGTCAAGCAAGATATCAGGTACTAATATGCACAGAATAATTGATGTATGTAAGTATGTATGTTTGTAGTATGTATTGTAATTCTGTGGTTTTTCTGAATGTTGAAATTTATAATAAGAAAAGCACAAGAGACATGAAATTCCCAAAGTATGAGTGAGAGTAGGTAGGGAGGTAGGTAAGGAGGGAGGGAGGGAGGAAGGCAATTCTGATGGTGGTTGATGATACTTTGTATCGGGGAGGGGGCGGTGTTGTTGATCTAAATAGACAAAGTTCAAAGAAATATAAACATTTTTTTTATCTTACCTTTGGCTCTTGCAATGTGTAAAACCTTTATACTCTTTGTGAACTTCCTTCCACTCTGGGTAAAAAATCAACTTCTCAATGTACCCTTCTCAACAAGTTGTCAGTTGTCTGTCTGTCTGTCTGTCTGGCTGGCTGGCTGGCTGGCTGGCTGGCTGGCTGGCTGTCTTTCTCAATGCTTCTTGGCTGCCTTTTATATACCAGATCTTGAACTCAATCAAATCTTCCCTACTTTTTTTTGATCGATCCAATGATTGGGACCCGGATACCTGTCCTCGGGAGTATGATTGCCGACAATAGATGTGCCAGGTTCGATGCAAAGGTGTGGGTGCAGGTGTAAGTGTAGGTGTAGGTGTAGGTGTAGGTGTAAGTACGTAGGTAGGTAGACAGAGAGGTGTGAGTGATAAAAGGGTGTGCAGGGACTTGGATGGAGAGGCACATGCAGCATATAAAAATAAAATAAAGCCAAAGCCCAAGCCAAAGAAAGCCTTGAATATTCGGTATCCTATGTCAATCAACAACAAAGTTTCGACGAAAGAAAAATGAAAATTAAATAAAAGGGCGATTCAGTCCTTCGATTTGTCCCTGATCGATTTAAACTTTGTTTGGTATGTTCAATAATTGGGTGAGGGGAGAGGGAGGGGGTTGAAGGGGTTGAAATTTCTTTTATTGCAATGCAGTCAGTCCGTGAATGGAGTTGAGTCGGGTACTGATCTGATCTATTGTGAATATGATTGTTCTTGTGGGTATGATACTTGTTGTGCTAAGAATAAACCACGTAGGTAGGTAGGTTGGTACGTATAGTACGTAGGGTAGCTGTTTCGTAGGTGCGGTAAGAATGTTCGGAGTACAATACCAAATATAATCAATCTCCTTTAGACTTTCGAGTTCCGCTTCTTTTTGGCTTGTTTCTGTTTCTTCTCGTATTTTCATCTCTGTCGGTTGTTTCGTACTATGCTTCTAATGGTTGATGAATCATGAGAGCCTCCTCATTTCTTTGACCGCCAGCAGAGCACAGGCATGATATTCAATCAAGGCATAGTGTGCTTCGGATCCAAATCAATTAGAGCGTCGGTACCAGTATAATGTCCACCAATGGGGGTTAGGAGGTGCGGTGGGAATTGGCTTGATGAGGGTTCCTATGCGCTTTGGATATGCTCCATCAAATGTTCAAAGAGGAAAAGTTTCCTGAACGATGAAGGTTGGGTTGGGACTTGGAAGATTGAAAGTAAAGCTAGGAGACAGGCTAGAATTCGCTCCACATAGAGTTTAAGTCGTGATTTGAGTATTATACACTGCATAATTCGCCTACTTACCATTCCTCTCAAGGATGCAACCCGTACATCATCAATTGTGAAAGTATGCAATATATGTATCATGCACCGATATATGTGGTTGACGACTCGTGTAACAAATACGAATAGTCGAGATGTTCTTACTATTGCCCAAATGTATGGGCTGAAACTACTAGGTACTCGATATTTCGCGACTTCACAAGCGTTCTTGAACCCTGATGATAATAGAGATAGAAGGGGTTTAATTGTGGAAAGAAAAACAAGCAGCGATGGTCTATTAGGTTGGGCTTCAAACTTTCCTACTTCATGAGTATGGTATGGGGGCTAGCAGCTTCATTTTATAAGGGGGCCGACAACGTTACGGAAGCATTCACTAGTTACATAGGTACTTTGTACACCAACGCTATGATGAAGCAAAGTCTCGGTAAGTCTCGGTAAGTACTCTTGCCTCCCGTCTGTTTCGTTGTTTGGCTGTCTTACAGTGATACGAACTCCAAAAAACAATTCTAATCTATACAATGGAAGACTATCTGCAAAATGTAAGTTTTGTCTAACTTCCGTCTAATTGTGTCTGTCTACTGGGTTGCAACCTATAGGTGACATCTACAGTCTACCGTCTATTGCCCAAGGATATTCTCTTATCCTTACAAACTTCTCTACCGGTAATATCACATCAACCCCCAGTATGGATGAGGCCTAGACCTTTATGATCGAATGGCACCACAATTGGCACACAACCCGAAGCCACAGAGGTCTGAGCGTTCATCTACTTATCCTCAAGCTCCCAAATTTTTCTTACTCTGCAGGAAAACCCCACTTCATCCCTGACACTAGAATTTCCGCTAAAGTACTCGAGAATGAATCAGGATCGACTGCATGTCAGATACTAGGTTACTGACACGTGGTAGGACATGGCCTAGATGTATCCATGTACTGTTGAGAGTGGAGTAACTCTATATTGGTATCTACATGTTGCCGGTTTACTTAAAGTCTTCGGGAAGTAACGGTGTAATCTATAATCGATGTATAATATCTATCAGGCCCGGGTAGCTGTTATTATACGGACGACTACATGATTACTACTCTGCTATGCTACTGTAGAATACACCTTCAATGTCTATGCGATTCTTCAAGCCTACTTATCCAGCCGGGAAAACGAAGCCGTGAACAGCACGATAATTTATATCCAAACAAAATACTGTCGGATCCGAGTCATACATGTGAATATCTGCATCTTTCAGGCATTAAGCATCGGTATCGCACATGTGTATTACTGTCAAAGCACGGCACTGCACAGGGCAGTGATAATTCTGGTAGCGAATTTCGATCTGGCTTACGGCAACACCGTCTCCGAACATTGGCGTTCCATACCCCTCGTCGTCACTCGCCAAAGCACCAAATAGATGGAAAACATCTCCTTGTGTACTCTCGTACCTCTTCCATTGCCAATGTGTGAAGAGACTATGATTTCGATATGATGCATTACTGCCGTCGGGCAGATATCATACATATCACACATATTCGCGGAATTGGGCAGAGCTGCCGTGACACTCGGGCCGACCGCGCAGATGCGTAACAAGTTACAAATACATGTTCTAATCCATTAACTTACATCACATACAGTGCTTTAATAATATATGGATATATGGATACCCTCCAATAATGCGAGTGGAGGTGTGATTGTGATTGTCAACAAGCCTTCCGTGGACATAAAGTAATCAATAACGAACGGCATGCCACTTTACCTCAGGTTTGATCGAGATTGGCGGTGAGAGGGGCGTTTCGGAGGCTTGTGAAATGACCGAGTAGAGATGGTGTGAGTGGACTTCCCTCGTTAGGTTTCTTTTCCTTCTTTTAACTTCATGTACAATGTTATCATTTCGAGTGTGCTAGACGATATACCTTGAAAAGTATCTAAGCGGTGCTAGGGATACTTCGTCTAGCCGGAGGTAGATGTTCTCTTCGAGAAGGAAAAGAAGACTATTGTGGGGTACGGGAAAACATTATCGTTTCCCATTAGCCACAGTATGCCTGCTACCTCATATATATCGTCTATTTTATTTGCAACAACGAACAGGTGAACTAAATTTTTACTTTTCACGACTCACGAGTGCTAAAACTCCAAGTCCATTTATCTCGTAAGTATGAGGTAAAGAAAAGGGGAGGGGTTTCGAAACAAGGCGAGTGAGGATCAATCCTTTTCTAAAGCCATCTTTCGGTTGGCTCTACCTCGCAGATTTCTGGCCGGAGAAAGACAATATTCATTCGGCGATCAATGTGTGATCAATGTGTGATGATCGCACTTGATCAAGAGATCGGATCTGATCAATTGATCTTTCATCATTATACATGTTCCTCATCTTGTCGGATTTGCCGCTCACTCATATGCTAGCTGCTAGCCATCCTTTGCATTTCCGTCGCTATCACATTTTCAACACTGCTTCTAGACAGAAACCTATCCCATCTGAAGAATTGGCTTTTCTCTTCAAAATCATTATCCTAGTTATAAAGAATACCTTCAAAGGGAATAGTTCATTATCAGTTGATTCTAGGTCTTCGTAGGCCCATAATCCCTACCTCTACCATGGTCGAACTTGTCCTTCGAGTCTGACAGGTCGAAATATAGCAGGATATCTGCATCAAGCCTTCCATTCCGACGTATTCCTCGCTTGACTTGTACTCCCAATGGACCCCACTGCGAAGTTGTTGAAATAATTACAAGACTTGATTCGACGAGAGAGTGTGAAATCACTCAATGCATTACCAATTTTTCTTCAGGAACATTTTCTGCTGCATACAGATCCAAATGTTACCCTAAACTCCACATCTTTTCACAGCGCTCCGTGCTGACATCAGCGCATACATATTACGAAGCCCCCATCCTCCCCGCGAACCACAAGTTTTCGCGATCTGTCCCTGCATATATTACAGTCTCATTTAGCCTCAACTTTCAATTCTTGGTTCGCATCCGCATCCCTCATCATACATGAAAAGAGATGAGGAGAAGGTTACTTTGCTGCACGAAATATTATAATGACAGTTCGTATAAACCCAGAAATCGGGCATGGCAATACCCAGTTTGAGAAGCCGACCGAAACCCAAAGGCTCCCCATAATTCAAACAGGGCTCAACAATTGAGGAGAACACATTGTTAATGGCTTTTGATTTGCCAAGCTACCGACATATAGTTTGCGCGCCATGCACATAATCACACTGTTTATTTGCCCGAGAATCGGTACCACAATTTCAGGCCCCACGGTTCCCAGAGAAAGCATTGCAAGAAAGAGGCATCACACACGACATCTCGGCCAACCGTTGCAATCCTTCCAGCTACCCGGCGAATTGCCGATCCTCACACTTCTCTCGTACGACATCTGAATCACTCAGGTAGCACGAGTAAGGTTACGCCAGGAATTGCGAAACGACTTGCATGGTTATCTCGCAAAGCAACGCCAAAAACCGCTAGAACTCCCCCTTCAGTATCCCCATGTACTTTATCTTGTGGGACAGCCTCGAGACTTATCCATGTAAGCATGTCATCTCGACAGCAGCCACAATATCGTTTCATCTCCGTCAGAAGCCTGTCATATTCTCTTGTGTCCTCCACATTGAAGTTCGCTCATTCACACTATCCTCTCATATCAGCCATTGCTCGAGTCTTTTCACATGTCGCTGCAAAGTCTTCCTTCGCTTGCTGAGTGCAGAAAAATCATCTGATTGTACAAGTGCGATCAAATCCATAAAGCCTTTTCTTACATTTCTGATATCTTTACCGCCGTTTCAATGTTTTGCAAGTTTTGCGAATTTTCTATTCAACTGCAGCGTTCATCGTTTGGTGAAAGGTTGAGCCGCATAGCAATGCAGGAATCCATAGCATCGACAACTGGGTGTATGGAAAGTTTCCGAACACCTAGGTCATCCTAGTAAGGAGGACTGAGGAACACTTCATTGTAGTGGAATGAATGATCCTTTCCCGGCTCTTGTAACGAGTGTCTTGAAAGCTGACACTGTTCAGCCATGCTTCAATTTGTTCCTTTCATAGCGAAAGATGTAGTCTCAAAATCTATCATTAATGATCATCGGATATAGTAATATACGTAAACTACAAGATTCGATCTCAAGACACTTGAGATACAAGCTACCTATCAGATGATTAGCTGAGTATACTCAAAGTTTGCAAAGAAAGTCACTCTGGAATACCGAATCTTTGCACGTCTGACATCACCATAAATCACTATTATTCCATCATCAATTTTCTTCTATTCAAAGATACACACCCTCTCCCCTCCATCCGCTGAGATGTGAGTGATCTCCATTCTTTCAGGAGTTTAAAGCCGAACCCAGATGTTCCAATAGAGGCTTTTGAGTGAAAATGGAAAAGAACAAATTCTCATGAACCGTTGATTCTCATTCACATCTCTCATCTCATCATCTATTGCTTTCATTTCTCTACCACCTATCTCCTTCCTATATCCGATGCCGGATATGCATGAGGAAGAACATCGTAGCCATTCAACATGAATCTCTCACTGTCATTTTCCAGACTCAGATGCGGCAATGCAATATGGATGACATGATACATTTACCTCATGTAAGCTAGGAAGTAATCAAATATATCTGCATATCTACATACCTACATTCATAGTGATACTCACCACGATTGCAATAAGAACATGAAATCTATTTAGGAACACTCGATATTGACACGTAGATTACTCCAAGCATGAACACCTAACATTACACTCACAACTTCCATCACAATCTCTTGCCTATCTGCATATCTATCTCACCATCACCCAAATCGCAGTCTCCTGACCATTCTTCCAGGAAACTCAGTCGAAAAGAATTGGAATTTTACACGTTCTACGAGGCGAGTCTGTTTCGATTTCTCGTGAAAGCAGGTATCTTGATATCACATATCTATGTGCACTCTTTTCCTCTCTCCTCATCTCATTCATAATAACCATCATCCCGATTTTCCAATTCTCTAATCTCCCCCCATCCCAAACTCTCCTATTCTCCTTCATTCTCTATAAAACCACAGAACCAACACAGGTAACAACACTACAACAAACAAGCTTTCCATAAACCTTTCATCTACTCCCTTCTCCCTCTCCCTCTCCCTTCTCCCTCTAAACAATATCGGAACCTTACACCCACAACATCATATATGCAATGAAATGAATAAACAACTACACCATCATCATCACCATCATTATGACCATAACCACTATAAAGCCCACTACCTACACATCCTCCACACATCAAAAGAATGATACACAACCTGAACATACTACATCCTATTTTAAATATTAACCCAGACAAACACCAACTATCCACCATCCACCATCCACAATCTCACAACTACAAACTCTTCAAACTTCACATCCCTAATCTATATCATTCCCCTCAGCACAACTCCCATTTCTACCTCCACAAACTCTACTCTTCATCCACCAGCCACCATTCTCTAAAGAATCTATTCATTCTTTAAAAAACAAACAAGCTCCCTCCCTCCCTCCTTCCCTACCTTAAAGATCAACCCCGAACGAATCTCCCCCTTTTCCACTTCTCACTTCTCACTTACCACCTCACGTTCCTTCTATCATATATATATCACCCATCGGATTCGCCCATCTCAGATCCAACACTCTCACTCTCACTCTCACTCTCACTCTCACTCTCACTCTCACTCTCACTCTCACTCTCACTCTCACTCTCACTCTCACTCTCACTCTCACTCTCACTCTCACTCTCACTCTCACTCTCACTCTCACTCTCACTCTCACTCTCACTCTCACTCTCACTCTCACTTCCTATCTACCTTCCCACCCACATCCACATCCACATCCCCATCTCCCTTCCCATCCAAAGTTTAAAATTTTCACATAATCAAGATATCAAAATACAAAGACACCAAGATTCACACACAATAATTTTCTCCACTAGTGATACCCTCCTCTATATACCTATCTATACTTACACCCATACCCATACCCACACTTACACCCATACCCATACCCACACCTACACTCATACCTATACCTATACCCAAAAAACTAAAATAAAATAAAACTTTACATATTTATCTAGATAGTTTCCGATAAAATAGTAAAAAGTATATACTATAAACCACCCCTATCTTTAATCTCTTATTCCATCTCTCATTCATCTTCTAAATACATCATATATCATATATTGTATACTACATACACTACATACTATGCACTATATACACAACCCTAACTTTTCCTCCCCCCTCTCATCTCTAACTCCATTCTCATCTATATCCATCTATATCCCAATTCATCCATCCCATCCATCCCATCCATCCCATCCATCCCATCCCATCCCATCCCATCCCATCCCTTTCTATCTACTTCATTATATTCTATTTCATCCAGTCCCTCTACCTCCCTCTACCTCCCACCCAACTCCCCAACTACCCAACTACCTATACAAATAAAACAAACAAAGCAAATACATCCTCACTCCTTCATCACACATATATATCTACATACCTACATACCTACATCCCAATTCTTCAAATCCAAATCCAAATCCAAATCTCTCTCACACACTCTCTCTACAAATAAATCACCAACTACCTAGTATATAAAAAAATCACCACCAATCTCATTCAAAAAAGAACATCAGACCATATCACACTATCGTAACATACCTAATTAAAACTATATATATTTATCCCTTCCGTTCCATCACCACCAACAAGCACCCACCCACCTCTTCACCTTTAAGAATCCAAAACCCAAAAAGAAGATAGAAAAATAAAAAAATAAAAAAATACAAGAAGTTCTCCCAAAAAGCGATTGTATGCACGAAAATATCCCATACAGCGATAAGTCATTCAGTAGCTAATATATACATAAGCCCCTGCCACCGCCTATACTCATAAGCGACCATGTACCACCGTAGAGATTGGTTATGGATCCATTTGCGTGGTAGTTGAACGTTAGCATTTATCATGAGTATCGTATACTCATATCATATTTTTTCCTCCAAGTCTACAGCCCTGAGATGAGACTCCCATGGATGTTCGACTTTATCGATTCGACCATTTCCACCTATCCTCAGTTTCCTCCAGCTTGGCCCAATTTTTGGTTCCAGAACCCGTATTTCTCCTACTCTGGTCAAATCATATCCTCTTCCAACACCACCCTCCAATCCACCTCAAGAATCCAACCTAACATTTTCTTTCCTATTTGTAACTCCATCCGTCTTCAATTCCACCCCGGTACCCCTCCCATTAATAGAATTTCCATTCAGCTTAATCTTTGGTTGAGGGGTCTCTCCTAAGACCTTCTTAGCAGCCACGGCATCAAGCCCCTCTTTTGCCAATGCATCTAATCTCATTTCTTCTGCCAATTCATTCTCATCATTGTCCGATCTGTCATCTTCTACTATACTCATGAAAACGAATCTGTAGGCGATACGCAGAATATAAAAGAGCCAGAAAAGATTGAGAGCTTGTAAACTAGCGAGAAGAGCGGTGGAGATGACGTGTGAGAGATCACATTTATATTGTTCGGTTTCCCAGTTCAATTCATAGGGGCCGACAGTCTTGAATTCATTGAACTCCGAGTAGAGAATTCTGAGGTTGAGGTAATGTCGGAGGTAGACCCAAGCAGCAATGAAGAATGCGAAATAAGGTCCTACAAGAGGGTGATCTAAGTAATTGAGAGTTTTGGATGTCTAAGAAATTGTTAGTCCATCTTGTACGCTTTGGGACACAAGGGGTTTGTAAACATACCGCCAGGAAGAAATCACTGATATCATGAGTGACATAAACAGCCAAACCCATATATGTGAAATGAAAACGGTAGCTCAACCCAATAAGGAACAAAGACACAATGTGATGTCCAACCAATTCCCTATAATCCTTTCTAGGCTTCTCCAAACCCAAGCATAAAACTAGAGCCTGTTGCGCCCAGTATGCAGCCTGGAACAAGTAATAGAATTTAAATATTCCCTCGTGTGTCTTGTGCGGGAACCCCTCATACATGCCATGTGTATTGAAATACCAAACCGGGGTTCGACTCATGACGTATAAACCACAAGGACCGAGGAACCCAAAATAGATCGCAGTGTACATTTGTTCCATGAATCTTGATTGTTTAGCCCTACTCTTCAATCCACTCTTGCGAGCCAACGGTCTTAGGAATTTCTGCATGATGAATTCGCGAGTGAAGGATAAAACGACAATGTAGAAAGAAACCAAAGCGAAATCCCACGGTCCTTTGCCATATTGAACTGGTGCTCCTGGGTCCGACCCTTCCTCTCGAGGAAGTTCGTAAGCTGGGAAAATGAAGTAGTGTAGGGGATTGGATTTCGAAGGATTGATGGCGTATAAAGAGAGGACAGCTGCGATAATAGCTAGAGGTGTCACCCAAGTATGCTTCAATGCATATCTTTTATATTGTTGCAATAGTGTCTTTGCTTTCCGCCTTTTCGAGTATGGTTTCTTTCGATCTCTATCTGCCTGTGCCTAAATACCAATACATCCGTCAGTGTCTGCAATCATCCGTAGAAGAGAAAACAGAGAATAGAAGGTACTGACCTTAATTGTCCCGGGCGAGGGTGGTCTAACATCGACTGTAGCAAAAGCCGGCGCACCAGTATCTCCAGCTCTAATTTCACCACCTAATCCACTAGAACGTCGTCTTATTCTCGGCGTTTCAATACTGCTCGGCGCATTGAGCGGTGTCAATTTGTCCTGCTTCGCTGACGATACCAGCTGCGGGAAAGATTCCGTCGTAGAAGGCATATTTGGGAACACGATGAACACAGTCCAAGTAATCTTTATGAATCAATGAACTTTCCTCTCCTTGTAAACCTATCTGATTTATAACGTCCCGAATACCAGAAAAAAGTGGTCAATTACAAAAGAAGTATATGCAATGGTTTGGAAAGAAATGTAGAAACCTCAATGAATCGAGTATCGAATTTGGGGGACACTCCAACTTTTTTATGAGCATCCCGAACAGCCAGCTACTCGGTACGTACCATACAACATGCTCACTTAAAAATTCGTCTAGGATCCATCCTCGGACATCCATCTCCACCATCCGACCATCACTTGGGGCATTCCCCCTGTTCCCGTTCATCAAAGGATAATTCAAATTCAAATTCAACAGAACAATGCAACTTTACAGATTTTACATCATCAATGCCATAATGGCCTTCAGATTCGGTCATGACGAAATCGCAAACGGGACTGCGAATCTTGATCTTGCATGCATATGCTTGAAATCGCCATCCAGAAGGGTACTAGGTCCTCTAATTAAAGAATGCTACTGCTTATGAGCTGGATATCCTCATGAAAGGAGCATCCACTTCGGTTTCCAAAATGCTACTCATTGGTCTAGTCGTGGTTTTTGGCTCGTAGTTTCTTGCCCTGTAGCTTTGAGCTCGTAGTTTTTGGAATCGTAGTTTTTGGCCTCGTAGTCTTTAGACTCCTAATTTCCTATTCACGAATCACAAATATCAATTGAATTACGTAGATATTCTTGGCAAAGTTATTGATACCAAAATAAAAAGGGGCATTTTTGGGATCACATCAAATCAGTTTGCAAATTCTTCACTATGCTTGAAACAATACTCCATTATGAGATTCGTGGTCTCATGCTTTGATTACTACTATATGTAAAAATGTAATCGTAGTTCGTATACATTGTGCTGTGGTATCTATATCCATATCCTTTTCCCTCCTCCCATAATCCGGCCGTAATTTTGGGGAAACTCCTTTTTGGGTGTCCCAATACATCAATATACAAATGCTCAAATCCTAACGCCACGCTTATGCTCATGCTCAAATCAGAATCATACCAGAATTGCTATGTCAAGGATTCTCTACCCTTGGCCGCCGCGGCGGTGCCGGTATCGTTGTTACTGGTAAGCCATCTATAATTGGAGGAAGAGACGGTGTGACAGGACTTCGAGCTTGAATAGGACTACTTCGTGAACTCGAAAATGTAGGGGTTTGACGGCTCCCTACAAGAGTCGGCGAAGCAGTGACATTTTCAACTCGTTGATCTAGTTCCGGTTGCACTGCGGTTGCAAATGATATGCTCCCACGATGCGTAATTGAATGTTGGTTAAGGCTATCTGGGGTGTAAGGATCGGTTGTTCTGGCAGGTCTATCTCGCCTCGAGGTAGTAATCTCCATGTGAGAAGATTCATCAGGCGTTGGATTGATTGAATCTGTATCCGATTCCTCCGATTCCATCGCGGCAGCACGTCTTCGACTTGGTGCTGGAATCACCGTCAGAGGAAGTGGGTCTGTATCGACTGTAGGCCGCGTTTTCTCGCGGAACCTTTCTGCTTGGTTTGCCGCGAAACCTTCAATTCGAGCACGCACATCCCACCTATTCGAAGATTCATGACCACTAAAAGGTGTTGGAGGCTTCGCAGTATGCAACGAAACTTCTGCTGGAGGCCCTTGGACTCGATGTCTAAATGGATTAAGGGAAGTCCACTGCCAACTGTGAGCCGCCGCGGCGACTACAGGTGCTTGATTCCTCTGCTCCAGTATGACTGGCTTATCCGAGTCAACCTCTTCGTTACTAATGGACCTGCTAATGGATATAGCTTCACTATTACTTCTCGAGAGTGCTGTATCCCTACCGATGATTGGTGGAGTTGCTTCACTTATGGGATGGTATCTCACTGTATATGCAGTGCTCTCGGCACTGGCTGTGTCCGCCCTATTAATAGGTGTAGCAGCAGGCTGGGGTCTCGTAGGCCAAAGTGGAGGACGGACAGTCAATATATGTCTGCCTGTGCGTTGACCAGGACCAGACCCAGTCTCGAGATCGTTCGTGGCATGGGATCTATATCGACTAGCCAGCCCAGGCATTGCTGGCCAAGTAGAACCCGTAGCAGTCCCTCCCTTGTCATCGTTATCTTTACGGAAACGCTTTGTCCAATCCGATGTTGGAGTAACTTCGAGCATTTCATCCCCATCAAAAACTTCCCTTCCGAGCACTCCATCCTTTTTCTCGTCCCTTTCCAGAGCTTCAATTCGCTCCACCCACTCCCATACCACTACACTGGCTGCTGCAGCTCCAACCCATCGAACGTAATCACCCCATGCAGCAAGCGTTGGCTTTGATATATCGAGAACGAAGAAGACGACAGGTACTAGCACTGATACCAATGATAACAATGCCACTAAACATATGTTCCGCATTTGCGGATGATAAAACGCGTAGCGCTTCTTAGAAATAGCATAGTATATGACCCAAGCGCAGTACAGCAGACTTAGGGCAAGTTGAAAGAGGTAGGCTAAGGCGGGCACAGCATCTGTAAAAAGGCGGGGTCGAGAATTCCCATCGTAGACAAAATTGTTGAGGAGACTGAATAAAACATCCAGTGAAATGAGAGCAAATCCGGTCCATTTGATTATAATTTTCTCCCGCTGTCGTGGAAACAATCTTATCAGAGTCTGGGCTTGCGCTAGCCACAGGAAGGTATCCGATATGATGCGAATGATCTTGAGTTGCATGCCACCCTCGACTTCCTCTTGTAGGGCTGTCGCATTCATAAGTCCAAGCTCGTATTGTTGTTCCGCGACACGGAATGTGTCTGCTGTCGCAATAGTTAAAGAGACTGCAACTGTTAATGCTGCAACCTTCTGTAACCACGGTCGTCCACCGATGCCAATCCCAGCATCACTCCCGGAAGGACCATTGGTGAATCCGCGCCGTCCTAAAACCACGGCGCCTTGGACAAGAAATGTTCTTGGGGTGATGAGAAGCATTATGACTAGCATATATGCAATCACAGTCGTGGCGGCGAGTGCGTAACATGCCGGTATCGTGGAAGCGTAGAAGGGATCACGAAGATCGACGAACGAAGTGGGAGTGTCTGCATTGGTGAGGACAATATCGGCCGTACCTGTACACTCGGGACTGAAGATGGCATTGGTTGTGAGAGTGAAATACTCGGATGCGCCTAGATTAATAACTCCGTTGGAAGGAAGGGTGAAAGGCGTGCAATGAGGGTGAGTAGCGGTTGTAGCCACTGAAGTCGAGGAAGGCTTCAAATTGTTGATTAATTGTCTTCGGTCCATTTTCAACTGTCTGGGGGGCGGCCCTGCCGCTAATCGTTAATACAAACTCAATGTGAGGTTATCGACATATTAATGATATTTCGACGGGTTTAGCAAACAATCGATAGTGAATATTGTCGTATCGTTCGAACGATTGCAATATATGTTTATATATAATTGCGTTGTGTTGGTCGCGAAGTGGTGAAATGAAGAACGATTTAAAACGCTGGTCGGTAGGTATTTGTCTGTCTATAGGTGGTGGTGTTCGAGTCGCTCCGGCTTTGTTGAATCGAATAGTGTGGTAGGGTGGTAGGGTGCAGTGCGTCTTCGAGGAATAATTATCAGAAGCGCAAGTCAATAGATGGCAGATAGGGAGGAAGACCGGTTCGAAGAGAGAATGAAAATCACAATTATAATCAAGATAATAATACCTAGATTATTCAGGCTCCGACTTTGAATTTTATGAATATGAACAGGATAAGGGAGTGAAGTAAAAAGAGATTGAAGTTATTTTGGGGGTAGAAAGGTAAGAAAAGTTAAAAAGCTGTTGTTGCTGGGTGTTCATGAGTTTGGATTCATGAAATGTTCGAGATCAGTTTCATTGAATTTGATTAAACTGGTGGCGAGTCGTGACCAATTAGGGATAGAATGGGATAGAATGGTATGTAAGATATATGTGCGCACCGGTATGAGAAGGTCTCAAGAAGGGAAGAAGGGAAGAAGGGAAGAAGGGAAGAAGGGTGGAAGGGGAAGGGTAATATGGTACTATAAGATATTATGAGATAAGAGTCAATTATTAAAAGGAAGGAATTCTGGATAGAGAGTAGTGTAATACCTAGGTAAAGTGTGCTGACACCACCCGACTCTCATTATTTTTTAACTTTTATTTTGTACATCCACCATCGTATCGAGTACATACCTATTCTTCCAGGGTTGCTTTCCGGATGTATGAGATGATATTACAATTGAACCTATTGATCATCCATCCACCCATCCTCTCGTGGAGTTTCTTTGCTTTGCTTTGCTTTGCTTTGCTTTGTTTTCCTTTGCTTTGTTTTCCTTTTAGGTGATACTAGATTCACGATACCAGCCAGACGCAGCCAGACGCAGCCAGAGAGGATCATGGAAAACGATTGATCAGAACTCTAGATTGTAACAGCCTCGGACGTGGTCATGTACCAGTCTCGTCCATAAGATCATGTACATACCTGGGTCCTATACTAGTTGACCAATTTACTTTTCGCATCAGCTCACATTATCTAGCTTTACCCTGTGCTGTGTCGGTTTTGCAGTTTGTATTGTCCGGTACGACTCTTCCTTCACTTTTTACCCTTTACTCTCATGTTGCAACTTGCCATGGGCCAAAGCACACCCCATCATCATACATGGGTAAGCCAGCAAATCTAAAGCCAAAGCTAGAACTTGACGCTCGTTGGATTGGGAATTGAGGGTGGATGGTTCCATCGTGGCCGGTAAAACTTTGCGAGGGCTTGAAAATTTCACTCTGGTCGTTTCGTTTTATTCCTCATGGGGTTACATTAGGTATCAGAGAAGCCAAAGTTTCGTACCATGATCGGAATCACATTGACGTGCGCATTCCGTCCCATTCGCATTCTACTCTCATTCAGGATCTTCTGTCCTTTCATCACGGTTTGAATTCAATTGGAACTTTATAATTTTAAGCTTCAACGAAATGTTAAACCGATTGTGTCTTAAACTTTCTTCGAAGAAGCGTGGAATGGTAGAAGAGCGTGGCTTTTTCTTCATCTCATCGCCAAGTAACGGTGACATGCCTTGGAAGAAAGCTTGGTGCTAATAAGCTATCGGGGGGAGGGGGACAACTTGGTATTGTACTACAACAAACTTGGGGGAATTTGGGGAAGTCTGCTGGATTCCATCTCGGTAAGTAGTACGATTAGGTGGTGCTTCCACAATTCATTCGCTGGCGTTGACATTGGCAATGAAATCAGACATCATACATGATTTGAAATGATTGATCCACCATCGTGAAGACTAGAAGCTTAAGTAACTTTCCCTCCAAAATGTACTCTGTACATCTTCCAAACCCACTCAATTCAATATTATCGGGCTATTGGACTTTTAGCCATCAATCAGCACTCCATAAATTGCTTTCTTATATTTTCTTAAAACGGTCTCGTTCCGTCTTTCGTCCCTCATTCCATCAAATGGAACTTAGAAGACGGGAGATCCGGTCAGGGATATTGTCTCATCACTCAAACGGGAATGCAAAGAATACCTTCTGTTCAATCCCGCATCGCATGTCCACCCCTACTATAGCGGATAAATCCGGATATTCATGTAGGTAGCTAAAGATGGCAGGAGGAACATACATATATCTGCAGCCCAGAGTTTTCTAGAGCAATGTAGTGACACCATACCAGCATACTCATAGGTGAGAAGCTACTAGTAATTGGATATTCGCGGGGGGGACCATTAAAATTTCAATGATAAGCGGAAAATACTACGTAGGTAGCTGGGTAGCTTTCTTTACACATGTGATCATGACACCAAGACGATCAAGAGTTCGTTCTAAGTCCTAGGTAGTAAAGGAAAGGAATCGTGGAAGCTAGGTATTCATCGTATTCGTCGTATTCATCGGATATATCATATATGGACAGTACTTCTCGATGAACGAGGAAAGTAGGAAACGAGGAAACGAGGAAACGAGAAAACGAGGAAACGAGGAAACGAGGAAACGAAGGAAAATAATGAAGGAAGCCAAACAATTGCACGAGGCTTTGTGATGCGCTGCTTATAAAGTGATCACGGGCAATTTTCAATTGTTGATTATATTTGTCCACCCAGCCAGCGCCGTAGTTACCTGGGCACCACGACGGTGATGTACCCGCTTCCGAATCAACAGAAAATCAAACTTTCCCCAGCCACAGATAAGATCATCTTATGTGGCTCATGTTTTCATGTAGTAAGTGGCTTAAGGTTATGTAAAATCGATGGAGTCGGGAGGCTAGGAGAAATGAATTATGGATACCCGTGGACTGGCACAGGTACATAAACCTTTTTGTTCCTTGCTTCCGAAATATGTAAAATTTGTCTGAATGGGAGCATTATCCCCTTTATTAATCCTTAGGCACTAGGTAGGTAGGTCGGTACCCAATGAGCAGTCTTTTGAGATGCTTCATGCATGATGTAGCTCTTGGATTCTTTGGTGACTTGCTTCACTTCATGATAGATACGCAGGTACTGGTAACGGTACCTAGGTATCATACATAAGTACCGACTGTGCAATCCGTACAAGCTGACCATCTGGTCTATCTCCCTCTTATGAAATACCTACCTAGGGTCTTCTATGAAACGAATTGCGAATTTCAAAAGCCGTCCCGCCCAGATCTACAATCATAGGTACCCGCAGACAATGGAATACATCACATATGATGAGATGATGGAATCTAGCATACGTTAGTAGCTACTAGGTATCTAATGCATACCATAATGACTATTAAACGCGGGGTTAGCAGGAATTAGATTGCAATGTGATACAGCGAAGTGATACTACGAGAGATGTGCTGTGAGTGAGGCGAAATCGACCCTTATAACAATACCTAGTATCTAATGAAGTCTTATCCCCTCTCGCCTCCCCTCTCTCGCCTCTCATTGGCTACCTATGTAACTCCGGCCCTCCTTCACTCCTTCACTCTCATCAGTCTTCTCATACGGGAATCTTCCAATTAGCCATACCTTTTCTTTATATACAACTCTCCACCTCTTTGCGGTACAATTCTCAGGAGGGAGAGTCTTTGCATTTCGTCCCTAGCTCGGCATTGCATAACTTATTATAACTGATAATAATTGTAGTAAAAATTGATGCTAATCAAACTGAAACATTTTGGTAAATAATCAACCTCTTTCAAGAATTTCATCAGAAAGTAGTTCTAGATTGATTTACTATACACTGCACTTCATCCAGTCCCTACTAGGTAGATGGATACATACATATCGACCTACTTAACTTACTACGCATTATATCAATCAATTACAGTCTTAATACTCTCAATTCATTATTTTCGGATCGATACATCGATTTCTTTTAAACTTTCAAGCCGCCTTTACTTTTCGAAACACTCCTTTCTTGATTCCCATTAGAAAAAAAGTCTCTTCTTAATGACCGACTGGTTTAAAAGTCGATCCTCCTAATCAGCCCCCGTGCTAAGGCTTGATTGTCATTTCATTATTTGGTCTCCTAACCTTGAGAAAAAAGCAACCCTGGAAACAACACGAGAACTGCTTGAATCGCTCGATTCTTCTGGACTCTCTAACAAATTATTCGGTGCTCTTTTGCCACATTCACTCCCTTTTAAACACTTAGATGTGGCAGAGCAATCTTGCTGGGTTTCATTTGGATGATAATCGTAATTTCTGTGCTCGTGCCTGTCACAAATCATCTCATAAAGTGGTAATTAGATAAACCACCGTCAGATCCAGATTTATTATTCTTTAGAGGTCTGCGACCTCACGATACAATAGAGACATGACGCGCCCGGAAATCATTCGCGCTGGTTCGTTCTCAAATGTCTCACTCGTTCCCTTCAATGATAACTGATTTTATAGATTCAATTGACCTTCAAGACCAAAATGCCCCATCGGCGCAAGACCATTCGAAGAAACATGCAAACACCGCACCGTCAGGCACTGGGCCGCCTGCTCCACATCAGGCCGAAGCATTGCGGGAAGTCGCAGCAGAAGTCGCAGACGAACAACATAGAAGTCCAAGGGTTTCAAGAGAATGGGCCAATGGCGAAGGGCAAATGATACAAGATTATACGAGCGACGATTCGGCTGCTGGAGGGAACGCTGCGATGAATGGAAATCACCAACAAGACGATTTGGCAATTGCTCAAAATGGAGGGCTGTCAGGTTCTGGCGGCGATGATGGAGATATGGCGGATGCTGAGGGAGACGATAGCATGGATGATGACATGATGGACAAGATCTCAAGCTCCCCGTCAATCGACGATGGTGGGTATTCTCTTTCAAAAATTTGG